TCTCCAACACAGAAGCCAGAGCTCCTTGGGGAAGGAGTTATGGACCTTGCCTTGTGGGGACAGAGAGGAAGAGAGTGCTCTGCAGGGCGCCAGCCTGGAGGAGTGCTGGAGGCTCTGCGGCAGCATCTGGGTGAGGAGACATTAACAGCCTCACTGGGCCATGACCCAGGGACAGACTGAACGGCCGGATGCACACAGTGTGATACACAGGCAAACAACTAGGAGAAAAGGGGCAGGTCTTCTCTATAGGAAAATTCTAACCAATGAAATAGAAGGAAGGGGGAGAGGACGTCCCCACAGGAAGAAGTGCTGCAGGGAAGATCCACCAACGGGTGCAGAGATCTGGGCAACGTTCACGGAGAAGTGTGGTCTTTTCAGTCTCGGCAAATCTCCCCCAGTACACGCACAGATTACACAGGGCTCCTCAGTGGAGACCCTGGCAGACACCCCCTTAGCCAAGTGATCAAGGTTACGGCATCAGTGATGAAATACGCCCACCTTGGGCACCCTGGTGTGGTACTTAGGGTCCGTCACTCCTGGGGCATTCCCCCCAGATGCGTTACCTCCACAGAACCACAGGCCAGGCAGATCCTCCTGAGGAACCTATAACATAACCAGCTAGTTCTTATCCAAGCATCAAGGCCAAGAGTGATGAGGAAGAACTAAAAAGCTGTCACTGACGGCAGGCACTGCCGAGACAGGATGAGTGAATGCAACGTGGGATCCCGGAACAGAAAGGAGCACTTGCCAGGAGGAAACCTGGAGAAACCAGAAACCAGAAACCAGAACCCAGGTTGTGGCAAAGTTTTGAAAATGTATCATGATTATGTAAGACAGGGACAGGCTGGACGCAGTGGCTCACGCCTGTAATCCCAGCACTTTGGGAGGCCGAGGCAGGCAGATCATGAGGTCAGGAGTTCGAGACCATCCTGGCCAACATGGCGAAACCCCATCTCTACTAAAAATACAAAAATTAGCCGGGCGTGCTGGCAAGTGCCTGCCTGTAATCCCAGCTACTTGGGAGGCTGAGGCAGGCGAATTGCTTGAACCCGGGAGGAGGTGGTTGTGGTGAGCCAAGATCGTGCCACCACACTCCAGCCTGGTGACAGAGTAAGACTCCATCTCAAAAAAAAAAGACAAGACAAGACAAGACAGGAACATCAGGGGAAGCAGGCTGAAGGGCACACAGGACTCTCTATACAATTTGTGCAATTTTAAGTCTAAAATTATTTCAAAATAAAAAGTTGGGGAAAAAAGCTAATTGGAGAGAAGGGAGACGCTCACTGAGACAGCACAGTAACATCTCACGTCTCATTTACTGTGCAAAAATACGCTCGATCAGACATTGTGGCGGTTCCTCTCCCATAGAGCAGGGCACACAGTGCACCTGCTGGGCTGTGGGTGAGGGCCCTCTGCTTCCTATGGGTGTGGGGTTGGTGGTCTAGGGCTGCGAGTGGGAACTAGGGCACAAAAGCCCCTTGCTGGCTGCAAATTTAGGTAGTAGCTCTTTCGTGACACCCTTCAAACTCACGCTGGATACCGCACGCTCGGACCAGACACAGTGGGAGAGGATCCCGGGAGGATGACAGCCGCCTCACTTCAGAGGAGCCCTGTGGGCTGGTGGCCTCAGCCCAATGCCCCCGCTCTGTAGCTTCCCCCAAGGGAGCCCGCGAAGGCATCGCTCTCCTCTCCTCCCTCGACTGAACAAGCTGAAGAGGGCATTGCTGCCGGCGCTCCGGGCGGGGACAGGTTTCCGCTCACAGGTCTCCCCACCCCTCGGGGTAGTTGCAGGGTCGGGCGACAGCCCTGGATGAGCATCTGGGGCTGAGGTCTCCGCCTGGTGCAACGCGACGGTTTGGGGCCTAGCGTTCGAGGCTCGCTCCCTGACCCTGGGAGGCTGGCGGGCCTGGCCGAGGAGAGTGGTCTTCCGGGCGGAGCCGCACAGACGCCTTGTCCCCGTGGCCGAGGAGAGCGGTCTTCCCCGCGGAGCCGCACAGACGCCTTGTCCACGATGTGCCTGTAGCTTGTCAGCCCCCAGGTGGAGAAGCACCTGCCCACCTCTGTCCCCACTGTGCCCACGGGCTTGAGGCACAGTCTGCACATTGCTGGCCAGCTGCCCTTCCCTGATGACGGTGTGGCCTGTCTACTCTGACCACCCCACGGGCACACGCTGGGAGCAGGAGAAGCTCTGTCACCTCCAGCTCCAGTATCCAGGAAATGGCTTCATCCAGGGACGTCATCCATTCATGTCCACGTCCCAGATGTCACCGAGGGCGGCTGTGGGGGGACCCTGCTCCCCAGGCCCCCTTCTCCTAGCCCGGAGTCCTCTCTGTGACCTGTCGTGGGGAATTGCTCGGGGCTCAGCATGGCCTGGATGGTCCACCTGCCCCCGCTGTGAGGCCTGGTCCGCAGGGGGTGGAAGTGAGGCAGCCGGGAAGCGTCCGCGGGGTCGTGCGTATGTCCACACCGTGTGTGTCGCTGCGCTGTGGGGTGTTCACTGCCCCCCACCACCCTCCGGGGACCCTGGAGGCAGTGGAGCTCCCGACCTCTAGCTGCGCTGTCCTTGCCGCACAATTAGAGACGCCCTGCTTGGAGCTCCAGCTTTTGCTGTGGGAGCAGAAGTCCCTGGGGACGTGGGAGCCATGTCCTGAGGGCTGGTGGGCCTGTAGTGCCCTCCTGTGCCAAGCAGTGGGTGTCCTTGGACAGGGCTGGGGCTGTTGACCTCCCACTCCTTCTAGAATGAACCCCTGCAGAGAACTTTCTGGCCTGAGGCTGTGCCTGGGCGCACTTGGGGGACGCAGGAGCCAGATCCTGCCTGGTGCCCAGGTCCCGACCCACACAAGGACAACGCCTTATCCACAATGCGCCTGGAGAACGTGCCCCAGGGGACCTGCAAGATGGAGCCGCTGCCCCCCTCGTACCTCCTCCTCGCCGCTGCCCCTCCTGAGTCGAGGGTGAAGACGGAGCCACTGCCCCCTCCTGAATCGAGGGTGAAGATAGAGCCGCTGCCCCTCCTGAATCGAGGGTGAAGATGGAGCCACTGCCCCCTCCTGAATCGAGGGTGAAGACGGAGCTGCTGCCCCTCCTGAATCGAGGGTGAAGACGGAGCCGCTGCCCCTCCTGAATCGAGGGTGAAGACGGAGCTGCTGCCTGATCCTGAGCTGAGGGTGTGGTCGCACCTCCTCCTCCCCCTCCCATTTTCTATGCAGGGAGCATCTCCCAGGAGCAACAGTGCCTGTGGCCCACAGCCGCTGCCCACTGCAGGAGACACAGCTGGCTCTCGGACAGGGTTTGTGTGGGTGGAGGATTACCCAGGTGCCAAGGCAAGAGACTGAAGGCACAAACTGTTTCAGTATAATAAAGAAAATAGTTAGAACAAGAATAGTCATAACACAAATTAGATATAGAGATGATCATGGACAATTATCAATCATTATTATAAACATTATTAATCATCGACTTTTAATATTACTCTTTGTTGTATTACTAATATAACCTGGGAATAACCGGCGGGCATAGGGTCAGGTGCCGAAGGGACATTGCGAGAAGTGACCTAGAAGGCAAGAGGTGAACCCTCTGTCACGCCCACGTAAGGGCCGCTTGAGGGCTCCTTGGTCAAGCGGTAACGCCAGTGTCTGGGAAGGCACCTGTTACTTAGCAGACCGCGAAAGGGAGTCTCCTTTCCTTGGAGGAGTCAGGGAACACTCTGCTCCACCAGCTTCTTGTGGAAGGCTGGATATTATCCAGGCCTGCCCGCAGTCATCCGGAGGCCTAAACCCCTCCCTGTGGTGTTGTGCTTCAACGGTCACGCTCCTTGTCCACCTTAATGTTCCTCCCGTACTCCTGGTTCCTCTTTGAAGTTCGTAGAGGACAGCGGTAGAAGACATAGTGAAAATCTTAAAGTCTTTGATCTTTCTTATAAGTGCAGAGAAGAAAACGCTGACATATGCTGCCCTCCCTCTCTACTTCGGCTACCTAAGAGGGAAGGGCCCCTGTCCTGTGATCACGTGACTTGCTTCACCTTGTCAATCACTTAGAAGATCCACCCTCCTTACCCTGCCTCCTTGTTCTTGTATGCACCAAATATCAGTGCACCCAGCCGCTCAGGGCCACTACTGGTCTCCACGTCTTGGTGGTAGTGGTCCCCTGGGCCCAGCTGTTTTCTCTTTATCTCTTTGTCTTTATTTCTTACAATCTCTCGTCTCCACACGTGGGGAGAACACCTGCTAAGCCCCGCAGGGCTGGACCCCACACAGAGGTGGGGGAGGTGGAGCGTTCTCTGGGCGGCCCCCCATGGGGCTGCCACTGCCTCCCCAAGAACCAGCTCACCCTGCCCCAGAGCCCCACAGACACAACCGATCTTCAAACTCTCCCGTAGGGAACCCCGCTGGCAAGGAAAGCTCCGAGGTGGAGCACGCCCCGCCCAGTCCTGACCTCCTTCCCTGCTGGGAGCAACCAGAGTCGCCTCCCCAGAGCGGACACCTCAGGTGCTGGGTCCGACTGAGGGACGGTGCTCACGGTGAAGTGCACGGGAGCAGTGGAGGGGGGTGCACTTGGAGAGCGGCCTCGACGCACCTACAGGGTTTCTCCCTTTTCTGCAAGCCTCTTCCTGCAAGTGGGAGGACGGCCAGCCGTGCCAGATGCCAGGGCCCTGTGGGGCACCGTGTCTGCAGACCCTGCCCCCAGCAACAGCTCAGGCCACAGTCCACACGAGCCCCCAGGCCCTGTCCCATGCGTGACGGGAGAGGTGATCTTGACGGCCAGCAGTGGAGGGGGTGGCAGAGCCACACATGTGCAGACTGGGACACAGAGGTGTGCAGGAGAAGCTGGGGCTCACCTCGCAGGGAGGGTGCGCCAGCAAATTTAATTCTCATCTCAAATGGGGCTGAGTTCTCTAAGCAGAATTAGCAGGCCAGGAAGGGGGTGTGTCAGCTTGTGCAGGGTCACCACACAGGGCAGGAGGGAAAAGGCCGTCCCTGTGGACAGACGGCAGCCCTTACCTGTCAGCTTCTTGGACCACGGCTCCCTTCTTGCGCCAGTAGAGCCACAGGTGCGTCCGCCATCCCTCACCTGGGCTGCTCCTTGTGTACGAAGGCTTGGGGTGAGACTTCGGTTCCTGCTGGGGTCCATGGCCTGCAGGTCTGGCCTGCGCAGGGGCTTCCAGGCCAGGTGGCTCAGGTGGCTCTGGGCGCTCAGGGCCTCTGTGACTTCTGGAGATGCACTACGGAGGCAGCCTCTGGCATCCATGTTCCAGCTGGCTCTGCCCCCTCGTCCCATCTCCTGTCACCACACTCCCCACGCCTTCCTTGGATCAGTGCCGTGGTGCTCCCAGCTGGCGGCCTTCCTGTCTCAGGCTGGGTAGGAAGGCAGAGGGTTGAGGGCACCCCATGGCCCACGGCGGCCACGGCTCTTGTCTGTCCCCACAGAGATGACGATGAAGGAGGGTGGGTGTGGGGTCTGTTGGCCAGCAGGTGTTTAGGACCCCAGCAACACATTGCAGCATTGGAGGGGCCACTGAGGTGTTGGGGAGCCCTCCCAGGACCATCCAGGGAGCCTCCTTGAATGAAGGTCACCATCCAGGCGGCTCAGTCACAGCCTTCATCTTGTCACTGGGCCACGCCTCTGTCGTTTCTGAAAATCTTCCTCCAGACACTGGTGGCAACTACTGTGAGGACCAAGAGAGAGGAGAGGACCCGAGGCTGGTGCTTCACACAGAAGCAGTTCTCACCCCTGCTTGGCAGGGAATGCTGCACATCCCTGGAACTGGGATGGGGACTGCCGTCCAGGAGGAGGGACCAGGGTCCAGCAGCCAAGGCCGGGCTTCTCCCAGAGAAGCCCCCGAGAGTCGGCAGAGCCAGTTCTAGTCCTGGCGCATCCCACGCGGACGGCAGCTTGCACTGCACATGCTGCCCCTTCTCACTCTTCCTCCACGGGACGGGCGTGCAGAGACCAAGACCCCCTGGGTCTTCAGGATGGAGACGCGACGTCCCGTTTTGTCCCTGCTCTCAGGTCCCACTGGAGGAAAAGGGTCCGATTCAACGTGGGGCTGGAAGAAAAGAAATGTAGAGCGCAGAGTCAGCGACGCTCCGTTCAGCCGGGGTGAGGGGCGAGGGGCTATGTGCAGAGGATGTCAGGGAGGCTCCGCTTGGCCGGGGTGAGGGGTGAGGGGTGAGGGGCTGCGTGCAGAGGATGTCACGGAGTGTCTGCTTGGCCAGACTGAGGGGTGAGGGATGAGGGGCTGTGTGGAGAGGAAGATCCCTGCCCCCAGGGGAAGCTCCTCTCGGGACCTGATGAAGGGTGGGGACTCGAGGACCGAGGTGAACGATGATGTGACGTCCTACTTGTCCCTCTTCCAGTTTGGAAGGAGGCAGACATTTATGCTGGCGGGTGCCATGGTAGCAACAGCAGCAGCCGTGACCCACAGACCCCAGCTACCCCGGCCTAGGCCGCCCCAGCCTGGCAGGGAGATCCAGCCCTCCTGGCTGAATCTCCAGCACCACCCAAGCCCGTACTCAGCAGCACCCAAAAAAGAATGAGGATGAATCACAGAACCACCGTGTCTGTCCCCAGGAACTGCTGCCTAGTGCCACCGAAGCAGAAAGACCACCTAGAGAGGGTCCTGCACGTTTCTGCTACACTGGGTTGGGGGGGATGGACCCTGCTCTCCTTCCCGCTCAGGAAAGGTGAGCACCTTGCAGCCTCTACAGTGGAAGACCCCGGTCCTGACCCCAGGGAGGGACTTCTGGTGTTGAAGGACGCGGGTGGCTTTCTAACGATCCTTTTGGGGATGCTGGGTCACGCCTTCCGGTTCATCAAATGGCAGGGGGGGCAGCTCCCCGGCAGGGCAGGGGGCCGAGGTGTCTTCCGGGAAGCAGAGCGGGACCCCTGCCGGGCCCTGCCAATGAAATACTCACCACGTTAGGGTGCCAAGATGGACTATGACCAGAGAATGAAAGCTAAGGAGAAAAATAAGAACAAAAATAAAAACTGAAACGGAAAGGGGAGGATGGAGACACGGAAGGAAAGAAAGAGAAAAAAGAGTTGGTAGTGCTTCTGGCAAGAAATACACGCGATTACAGACCGAAGACAGAGCTGTTGGCAGGGAGGAGAGGGCTCCATTTAGGACGGCCGAGGGAGGGCTGCTGCCCAAATCCCCCGGGCTGAGGGGTGCTGCCGCCACCCCTAGGAACACGCTAAGGGCCCCCGCACCATGCAGACTCGGGTGGTGGGCACTGGTCAGGGGCCCCACACCCAGCGTGTCCCCAGCAGCACAAGGCCAGCCTCCCGGGGACTCCTCCTCCCTGAAGTGAAACCCATTGCTGAGACCTGCTGCAGGAATTTTCGGCGAGAGCACCAATGGGGTAATAATAATGGTGAAAGTTGTATTGGAAAACATTCCAATTGCCCAGCAAACAAAAGCAGGCCTGTGACAATACTGTGGTCTCAGTCCCACCACAGGCAGCAAAGTACAACCAGCACCCTGAGTAGACAACGCACACACAGCCTCACTCTGGGCTGGGGTCGGAAGCCAGACCCATCTGGACACGAGGGAAAATCGGGCAGCGGGGCATAGCTTGGAAATGAAGAGCTGTTTACCTAGATTTAAGAAATAACACCTGACCTATTCTTTTCTTTGGAGACAGGATCTCAGTCGGTCACCCAGTCTGGAGTGCAGTGATGTGATCGTGGCTCACTGCAGCCTCAGCCTCCCAGGCTCAGGTGATCCTCCCACCTCAGCCCCCGAGTAACTGAGATTATAGGCACATGCCACCATGCCCAGCTATTTTTAAGAATTTTTTTCTAGAGACAGGGTCTCACTTTGTTGCCCAGGCTGGTCTCGAAATCCTGGGCTCAAGCGATCCTCCCATCTAGGCCTCCTAAATTACTAGAATTACAGGCATGAGCCACCACGCCCAGCCCTCACATTTTTCTAGTATTTAATACAAACAAACGTCCTTAGGTTAAGATGCAAAATGAAACAGACATTTGGTTTGGGGGAGAGACATTTGGTTTGGGGGGAGACATTTGGTTTGGGGGAGAGACATTTGGTTTGGGGGAGAGACAGTTGGTTTGGGGGGGAGACATTTGGTTTGGGGGGGAGACATTTGGTTTGGGGGAGAGACAGTTGGTTTGGAGGGGAGACATTTGGTTTGGGGGGGAGACATTTGGTTTGGGGGAGATACAGTTGGTTTGGGGGAGAGACAGTTGGTTTGTGGGGGAGACATTTGGTTTGGGGGGGAGACATTTGGTTTGGGGGAGAGACAGTTGGTTTGGGGGAGAGACAGTTGGTTTGGGGGGGAGACAGTTGGTTTGGGGGGGAGACAGTTGGTTTGCGGGGGAGAGACAGTTGGTTTGGGGGAGAGACAGTTGGTTTGGGGGGGAGACAGTTGGTTTGGGGGGGAGACATTTGGTTTGGGGGGGAGACATTTGGTTTGGGGGAGAGACAGTTGGTTTGGGGGGGAGACATTTGGTTTGTGGGGGAGACATTTGGGGGGGAGACATTTGGTTTGGGGGAGAGACAGTTGGTTTGGGGGGGAGACATTTGGTTTGGGGGGTAGACATTTGGTTTGGGGGAGATACAGTTGGTTTGGGGGGGAGACATTTGGTTTGGGGGACAGACAGTTGGTTTGGGGGGAGACATTTGGTTTGGGGGGGGGACGGTTTGGGGGGGAGACAGTTGGTTTGGGGGAGAGACAGTTGGTTTGGGGGAGAGACAGTTGGTTTGGGGGAGAGACAGTTGGTTTGGGGGGGAGACAGTTGGTTTGGGGGGGGAGAGAGTTGGTTTGGGGGGGAGAGAGTTGGTTTGGGGGGGAGAGAGTTGGTTTGGGGGGGAGAGAGTTGGTTTGGGGGGGAGACAGTTGGTTTGGAGGAGAGACATTTGGTTTGGAGGAGAGACATTTGGTTTGGGGGAGACATTTGGTTTGGGGGAGAGACAGTTGGTTTTGGGGGGAGACAGTTGGTTTGGGGGGGAGACAGTTGGTTTGGGAGAGAGACAGTTGGTTTGGGGGGGAGACAGTTGGTTTGGGGGAGAGAATTGGTTTGGGGGGGAGACAGTTGGTTTGGGGGAGAGAATTGGTTTGGGGGGGAGAGAGTTGGTTTGGGGGAGAGAGTTGTTTTCGGGGGGAGAGAGTTGGTTTGGGGGGGAGACAGTTGGTTTGGGGGAGACAGTTGGTTTGGGGGGGAGACAGTTGGTTTGGGGGGGAGACAGGTGGTTTGGGGGAGACAGTTGGTTTGGGGGGGAGAGAGTTGGTTTGGGGGGAGAGAGTTGGTTTGGGGGGGAGACAGTTGGTTTGGGGGGGAGACATGTGGTTTGAGGGGGAGACAGTTGGTTTGGGGGAGAGACATGTGGTTTGGGGGAGAGACAGTTGGTTTGGGGGGGAGACAGTTGGTTTGGGGGAGAGAGAGTTGGTTTGGGGGGGAGAGAGTTGGTTTGGGGGGGAGACAGTTGGTTTGGGGGAGAGACAGTTGGTTTGGGGGAGGGAGTTGGTTTGGGGAGGGAGTTGGTTTCGGGGGAGAGAGTTGGTTTGGGGGAGAGACATTTGGTTTGGGGGGGAGACAGTTGGTTTGGGGGGGAGACAGTTGGTTTGGGGGAGAGACAGTTGGTTTGGGGGAGAGACATTTGGTTTGGGGGGGAGACAGTTGGTTTGGGGGGGAGACAGTTGGTTTGGGGGAGAGACATGTGGTTTGGGGGAGAGACAGTTGGTTTGGGGGGAGAGAGTTGGTTTGGGGGGGAGACAGTTGGTTTGGGGGGGAGACAGTTGGTTTGGGGGAGAGACATTTGGTTTGGGGGAGAGAGTTGGTTTGGGGGGGAGACAGTTGGTTTGGGGGAGAGAGTTGTTTTCGGGGGGAGAGAGTTGGTTTGGGGGGGAGACAGTTGGTTTGGGGGGGAGACAGTTGGTTTGGGGGAGACAGTTGGTTTGGGGGGGAGAGAGTTGGTTTGGGGGGGAGAGAGTTGGTTTGGGGGGAAGACAGTTGGTTTGGGGGGGAGACATGTGGTTTGGGGGGGAGACAGTTGGTTTGGGGGGGAGACAGTTGGTTTGGGGGAGAGACATTTGGTTTGGGGGGGAGACAGTTGGTTTGTGGGGAGACAGTTGGTTTGGGGGAGAGACATTTGGTTTGGGGGAGAGACATTTGGTTTGGGGAGAGACATTTGGTTTGGGGAGAGACATTTGGTTTGGGGGGAGACAGTTGGTTTGGGGGGGAGACATTTGGTTTTGGGGGGAGACAGTTGGTTTGGGGAGAGACATTTGGTTTGGGGAGAGATAGTTGGTTTGGGGGGAGACATTTGGTTTGGGGGAGAGACATTTGGTTTGGGGAGAGACAGTTGGTTTGTGGGGAGACAGTTGGTTTGGGGGAGAGACAGTTGGTTTGGGGGAGAGAGTTGGTTTGGGGGGGAGAGAGTTGGTTTGGAGGAGAGACATTTGGTTTGTGGGGAGACAGTTGGTTTGGGGAGAGACAGTTGGTTTGGGGGGGAGACATTTGGTTTGGGGGAGAGACATTTGGTTTGGGGGGAGACATTTGGTTTGGGGGGGAGACAGTTGGTTTGGGGGAGAGAGTTGGTTTGGGGGGGAGACAGTTGGTTTGGGGGGGAGACAGTTGGTTTGGGGGGGAGAGAGTTGGTTTGGGGGGGAGACAGTTGGTTTGGGGGGGAGACAGTTGGTTTGGGGGGGAGACAGTTGGTTTGGGGGGGAGAGAGTTGGTTTGGGGGGGAGACAGTTGGTTTTGGGGGGAGACAGTTGGTTTGGGGAGAGACATTTGGTTTGGGGGAGAGACATTTGGTTTGGGGAAGAGACATTTGGTTTGGTGGGAGACATCTGGTTTGGGGGAGAGACCTCTGAGGCTCAAGCCCCAAGAACACTGTGTCCCCTCCGGCATTGCTCGGCGCTCTGGTGTGCTAGTGGATGCTTCCCTACGTGGCCTGGTGTCCACTGGGGCCTCAAAGGCTGTGCCCTGAGTATCTCGTTCTTCAGGATGATGATTCTCACAGGCGGCAGTGAGCGCCCAGCAGAAGGGCTTGGGTGTCACTGCCTATGAGGGGCAGGGTAGGCCTAGGGTGGGATGTGGGATGACACATGGCCCCTCGAAGGTGACTGCTGTCCAGAGGGACCTGCTCTCTCCTGGCAAGTGCAGAGCATCTGTGGGCTCTTCCTCAGGCCGGGACCAGCACATGCCAACCAGAGGGGCATCCTAATGCCAGCCTCCTGTGTTCTCCGGAAGGACGAGGCTGAAGGTGGGGCCACTGGCCACTTCATTCAGCCCCCAGTGGGAGTCGGTCACTTCAGGGAGCTCCACCCCACAGACTTAGCACAAAGTCTCACTCTGGGCTGGGGGTGGGGAGCCAGGCCCCCAGGACCAATCACAACGGAGTGAACACTCACCCCCAGACATCACTGAACCAGCCCCACACGGGAGAACAAGCCCTGCCCTGAACACCTGCAGGCATCCCCGGGAGGGCTGGGACTCTGCTGTGCTCCCCTCACCCTGACTTGGGGAGCACCAAGCCTGTTATGTGCATGGACAGAGCACCCCTGACCCCATACCTCATGGAGCCAGGACCCTGAGAAAGAGCCAGACAGCCCTCCCCAGCCCTGGCGTGTGGCCTCAACCTAACTGCACTTCAATGGGTGCTTCTGATCTGGGAACTTGATTCTTAGACCAGCGCAAGGTGAACCTGCAGGGATCAAAGGCTTCCACACAGTCTAGGCTTCCATGATGAGAGGAACCCGAGGCCGTTGGCTCCAGATGGGGAAACTGAGGCCACAAGAGGAGTGGCTCCTCTGAGGTCGCATGGCTGGGCGCTGGCAGGGGCATTCCTAGACCGCAGGGCTCCTGTCTCCCGGTCCAGAGCCCTTGCAGCAGCCACCACCCTGAAGCCTTTTTCTGCTCAGCTCCACCCAGTCTTCAGGTGGCCGCCTCCTGCCGCTGCTGGGAGCTAAGTCTGCTGCCCCAGCGGCCTGGAGCCGAGTGACTCAGTGGGAGTGGCCCTCTCCCTTGATCTTAACAAGCAAAAACCCCAAAACTGCATTTGTTTTACCTTTTCCTCCAGTTCTTTTATTTGTCTCTTCTGAGCTTCTATTCTTTCTTCTAACTCTTTAATTCTCTGCAAGGTTAAAAGGAAAAAAATCTTCAACAGTCACAGTATTTGGGAAACCCAAATCCTTCAAGATTTTCATGCATTTCCTTGGTAACAAATGGTGGCAGAGCAACTGGCATGGCCATGGGCTGTGGCTCCTGACGAGGACACCAGCCTTTGCTGCGTTGTTCCAGCAGGAGAGCAGAGGGCCTTCCCCATGTCACGCTCCCTGTGGTGGGAACAGTATGCGTCCGATTCCTGCAACTTCAACTCAGAAAGCACGACGCCAGACATCCAGGGAAACGGTAGGAACGCATTCCCGGTCCCCCCAAATGCCACTGCAGCAGAGTAAGGGGCCGCCAGAGGGTCACAGGAGAGCTGGGCACAGAATCTCCTGGTGAGGGGGATGCCAGTGCCCGGGGTCCCCCAAGCATCTGAGCTCCAACCACAGCCCCTCTGAGGCAACAAAGGGGCTGCAGGTGACTGTCCTCACCCTGAGCCCCCAGAGGCCAAAGGGGCCCAGGAGGCTAACAAGGAGCCAGCAGAGCACGTCCAACATTAGCCCAGCGATGCCCACGGCCAGTTGGTACACAAGGCACTTGTTTATGTGAATTTCAATTAAGCCTTCGCTAGGGGTGGTCTTCACAAGGAAAACATCCATAAAGCCGCCTCCCAGCCAACCTGGTTCATGGAGGAGCTGGGCTGCGTCCTACACATCTGGGTCGTCCAGTCTGCGAGGCTCCTCACCTCCCATTACAGCAGAACTGACCCAACAGGCCTGAGGTCCCACAGTGCCCTGAGGCCAAGGCACGCCAGGGCTGCTGTCCCCAGAGAACACCCTTGCCATCAGGAAACGGTGTCATGGAAAAGACACGGTAGCCGGGGTCCAAAAGAGAACTGCCACCCAGAGGCCTCTGCAACATGCCCAGGACACTAGGCTGGTGAGGGAGGCAGTCTGGCCCGAGTGCCTGCCATTGACAGGCATGGCCATCAGGGGCATGGCCATCAGGGGTGTGACCACAAGAGGGCGTGGCCAACAAGGGGCATGGCCATTCTAGGGCACGATCATCAGAAAGTGTGGCCATCCAAGGCTCTGTGTGTGGAAGGCATGACAATTGGGGGGCACGGCCATCAGGGGGCATGGCCATTAGGGGCACGGCTACCAGGGTGTAGCCATCAGAATATGTGTTATGAGGGGTGTGGCCACCGGAGGGTGGGGCCACAGAGGCATAGTCGTCGGAGATGTGGCCACAGGACGTCCCGCCTGGCTCTGTGCAGGCCCGGGGCCAGGTCTTTACCCCAGTCCCACTCCCGCCTGCCATGCACCTGCTGAGCCAGCTGCAGCAGCTCCATGCGCTCCCGCAGGATCTGGGCATCCCGCTCGCGCAGCTCACTCATAACCTGGCGTTTCCACTGCTCCACGGCCACCTTGAGCTTCTCCCGCTCCTCCTCCGACAGCAGCTCAGCCACCTTGGCCCCGGCCTCCTGCTGCAGGGCATCATACAGCATGGCTTCCAGCTCCAGGATGTGCTGGGGACGGAAGGGGAGATGCCTTAGTCCTTGCCTTCTCCCCAGAACAAACCTTTCAGGAAGGGCAACGGAGGCCGGGCCACCCTCCGCCTGGGAGCGGGGCCAGGAGGATGTGCAACAGACAGGAACCCAGTGCTGTGGCCTCTGCAGAAGGACTGGGGCCCCACGGACCTCCCCAGTCTGTGAGAAGACCCTAGAAGCAGAGACGCTGACCAGGCCAGCAGAAGCCAGGACCCTGAGCCCCAGGGTGGGGGAGGACTGAGCTATGAAGTGGGGAAGCTGAGTGGGAGGTGGAGGGGCTGCAGGTGGCCTGTGGGGACACAGCAAGGTGGGAGGGAGCTGAGCGTGGGGTCACCTGCTGCCTCCCTAAATCCAATTCATAGACCCATGTAACCCGATCCCGGTGCTATAACCAGCAGCCAAAATACATAATAACCCCACAGCCAAAATACATAATAACCCAGCAGCCAAAGTACACACCTTTTCATAAATTCCTGGGGTTTGGCAGTTTGCTCTGCATATTTCAAAGCTTTTCTTAGGCAAATTTTATTGACACGATCTTTGTAAAAAACAAATTCTCATACTACAGAGGCTTTCTTCCCAACCAAATGTAACATCTTCAGAGATAGCAGAAGTATTAGGAAATGGAAAAAAAATACTTTTGGGCCTCAGTTACACTTTATTGTTCTTGACGGCCACAAAATAAACTGTCCCCAGCTGTCACAACCAGCTCGCACATCAACCTCCACTTCTTAGAGAAAAAGAGCTCAGTGCCTTTAAGATGAGCTCCAGCTTCTAAAAATAAACCTGGTCGACTGCTGACTTGGAACTAACCTCACAGTGGCTTCATGTGCACCTGGTGGTGGGAGGTGCTCACCAGGACCTCCGTGGTGACATGAACTGTGGGCTGCCTGGATGAGCCTCCCTGCCTTTGGCAGCCACACAGACCACGGTCTACCACACCCATGTCCAGAGAGGCAAAGTCGGCACCAGCCCCTGCTGTAAAGAGCCATCATTGCCCCAGGAGGAACCAGCTCTTCCCCTCCTTGCTCCACTGTCTCCCAGAAGCAGAGCAGGAAGTGCAGAAAAAAACCTCAGTGCTCACAGGCCTGTGGGTCACCTGAGGGCACCTGACTGACCGAGAGCCACACCGTGAACGACACAGGAGAGAACCAGGCAAGTGTGCAGGGAAAGGGAAGGAAATCAACAGTGAACTCAGGAAACTCAGAGCATCCCAAATGAGGGGGCCTTCCTGTTGGAAGTGGAGAAAGAGGCCCCCCAAATATCACACAGGAAGCGGACCCACCAGCAGCACCCAAGAAGAGACCCCCCACCAGCATCACACAGGGAGACCCCCCCCCAGCATCACACAGGGAGAGACCCCCCCAGCATCACACAGGGAGAGACCCCCCCCAACATCACACAGGAAGAGACCCCCCCAGCATCACACAGGGAGAGATTCCCCAGCATCACCAGGGAGAGATTCCCCACCAGCATCACACAGGAAGAGACCCCCCCCAGCATCACACAGGGAGAGATCCCCCCCCAGCATCACACAGGGAGAGATCCCCCCCCAGCATCACACAGGGAGAGATCCCCCCCCAGCATCACACAGGAAGAGATTCCCACCCAGCATCACACAGGGAGAGATTCCCACCAGCATCACACAGGGAGAGGCCCCCCTGCCCAGTATCTCACAGGAACCTGCCCCTCCCACGGCGTCTCACAGGAACCTGCCCCTCCCACGGCGTCTCACAGGAACCTGCCCCTCCCACGGCGTCTCACAGGAACCTGCCCCTCCCACGGCGTCTCACAGGAACCTGCCCCTCCCACGGCGTCTCACAGGAACCTGCCCCTCCCACGGCGTCTCACAGGAACCTGCCCCTCCCACGGCGTCTCACAGGAACCTGCCCCTCCCACGGCGTCTCACAGGAACCTGCCCCTCCCACGGCGTCTCACAGGAACCTGCCCCTCCCACGGCGTCTCACAGGAACCTGCCCCTCCCACGGCGTCTCACAGGAAGACGCCCCTCCCACGGCGTCTCACAGGAACCTGCCCCTCCCACGGCGTCTCACAGGAACCTGCCCCTCCCACGGCGTCTCACAGGAAGACGCCCCTCCCACGGCGTCTCACAGGAACCTGCCCCTCCCACGGCGTCTCACAGGAACCTGCCCCTCCCACGGCGTCTCACAGGAAGACGCCCCTCCCACGGCGTCTCACAGGAAGACGCCCCTCCCACGGCGTCTCACAGGAAGACGCCCCTCCCACGGCGTCTCACAGGAAGACGCCCCTCCCACGGCGTCTCACAGGAAGACGCCCCTCCCACGGCGTCTCACAGGAACCTGCCCCTCCCACGGCGCCTCACAGGAACCTGCCCCTCCCACGGCGCCTCACAGGAAGATGCCCCTCCCACGGCGTCTCACAGGAACCTGCCCCTCCCACGGCGTCTCACAGGAACCTGCCTCTCCCACGGCGTCTCACAGGAAGACGCCCCTCCCACGGCGTCTCACAGGAACCTGCCCCTACCAGGCGTCTCACAGGAACCTGCCCCTCCCACGGCGTCTCACAGGAAGATGCCCCTCCCACGGCGTCTCACAGGAAGCTGCCCCTCCCATGGCGTCTCACAGGAAGACGCCCCTCCCACGGCGTCTCACAGGAACCTGCCCCTCCCACGGCGTCTCACAGGAAGACGCCCCTCCCACGGCGTCTCACAGGACGACGCCCCTCCCACGGCGTCTCACAGGAACCTGCCCCTCCCACGGCGTCTCACAGGACGACGCCCCTCCCACGGCGTCTCACAGGAACCTGCCCCTCCCATGGCGTCTCACAGGAAGCTGCCCCTCCCACGGCGTCTCACAGGAACCTGCCCCTCCCACGGCGTCTCACAGGAAGCTGCCCCTCCCACGGCGTCTCACAGGAAGATGCCCCTCCCACGGCGTCTCACAGGAACCTGCCCCTCCCACGGCGTCTCACAGGAAGCTGCCCCTCCCACGGCGTCTCACAGGAAGATGCCCCTCCCACGGCGTCTCACAGGAAGATGCCTCTCCCACGGCGTCTCACAGGAACCTGCCCCTCCCACGGCGTCTCACAGGAAGGTGCCCCTCCCACGGCGTCTCACAGGAAGGTGCCCCCAGTCCCCTCCAGAGTAGGGGGCATTAATCCTGGTCCAACCAGCAACCATGTGCCCCCCCTGACTGGACTTTGGGGCTGAACGATCCGCTGAGCAGTTGACCCCATCTGAGGCCTGAGAACACAGCTACTGTGGAGGTGCAGAGAGAGGTGGCCTCGCAGAAAGCTGAAGCAGTGCTGATTTGATCTTCTGGAAATGTGTGCAGAGACCCACATCTCTAATCCCATGGGGTGTCCACAGGATGTCTGATCACAGGGACCATGGTGGCAGTTGCTCTAGGCCAGGCCCCCACTCCTGTCCACAGGATGTCTGATCACAGGGACCACGGTGGCAGTTGCTCTAGGCCAGGGCCCCACTCCTGGAGCTTTCTGTGCTCAGATTCCGCATTCTGGTCTGGGCAAGGGGGCCCACAGGCTACTTCTCCAGTCATGGGACAACTCTCCCGACCCAGTGGAGGGATTCTGGGCCTGAGGCATCACTCCAGACACGATCTTACAAAGGGGAATTATCTGTGACATTAGGGTGGAAAAGGTGGATGGCTGAGTAGACAAATGCTGCCTGGGGGGCGGGGTGGGGGGCTGCCATCCTGGAGGTGCATACATTTCCTTTTCCTCTTTACACGTGCCTCACACACACCTCAAAGTAATGCTGAAAGAAAACATTGGAATATTTTTGTACAATCTTTTTTTTTTTTGTATGAAGGACAAATTTGAAATTATTCCATAAAACCTGGAGGCCATCAACCTCATAAAAATTACCCAAATTCTTCCAGGCCCTCAAAACAGTGTTTGACATCAAAGAGCAACTGACAAGCTGGGTGAAATATTTGCAATGTACCATTCTTCTGAGTGAGGAAATAAAGGAAATATTTGCAATGGATGGCAAAGGACTGGTTGCCTTCTTTTATCAAGAACTCTGACCAAAAGGTAGATAGCATGAGAGAGAGATGGGAAAGGTCACAAACAGACGTGGAGTGGAGTTGCATAGAAACGTGTTAAACTTTGAGCTCACCAGGAGACACGCCTGCTAGGACTGCACCAGGCAGCTGCACACCATGCGGTGGAAGTTTGGGGTGCAAGTTGTACCTACTACGGGGAGAAATATTCGACAGTTCCTAACAATGCAAGTGTGCATAACCCTTTGGTCGATCCAAAGACTATTTCCTGCAGATAATTTCTATTTGTGTGTTGGGATGTCAGAAATGGATAGGAATTGCTATTTTGCTGGTGACAGCTAATGCATGGACACTACCTAAGTCCACTACTGGGGACAAACAGTCCATGATACGCTCACACCAAGTCGCCCCTTGGGCTGGTGGGAAGCGCCCTGGCTGTGCACGGTCAGGTGAAAGGGAAGCGTGCTGCAGCTCGTTGGGGTTCTCAGGCTATCCATGAAAACGTACATGCACACACATGTGGGGTGTAATCCAGGAAGGAAAAGAGAACCAGCAAGTGGGTCCCCTTTGTTGGTGGCATCTGGAGTCCAGAGAACAGGAACGGGAAGAAAATGTCCTTTCCTACTGTGAACATTTCCTACCATTGGCGTGATGACCATCTCTCAGAAGATTTCAGACAGCAAGCCTTAGATAAGCATAGGGACCCCACTTTTGCAAAAATACTATGCATATCCCCATCCTGCCAAGAGACCACCGGGAGAGAAACCAGAATGCCCACAGTCTTTCTCTGTGTGCTGGGCACATGGTGAATTTTTTCTTGGATTTTTCTGTGTTGTAAATTAGAACTGTACATTGATTCTTTTTTCATTCAGGAAAAAAAATGCAATATTAAAAAAAAATGCATGCCCTTCTCTTCCCTTTCCTGTCTCAAGGTGGGCTGGATTTAAAAACCTTTGCACAATCCTTAGCTCTTTTCCTCTTCACCTATGCATCACCCACAAAGCACCTGCTGTCTGCCAGGCCTCGTGCTGGTCTAGGAGACCAGATGGTAGCAGATGCACACGATCCCTGCTTGCCCCATAGAAAGGCAGACCCATTTCCACGAGTGGGGCGTGTCAGGGCCACCTCACTGGGAGTCAGGGAAGGTTTCCTAGAGGAGATGAGGTACTAAACTGAGGCTTGCAGTGTCAGTCAGGGATGGGCAGGAGAAGGAAAGGGAGGGAGCCCCAGAAGGACGGAACAGCATCAGCGAAGGCTGGGTGGGGTCCTCCATCTCCTGGCCTGTGGTGGTGGTGGCTGCATAGCAGTGGAGATGCCTACCAAGTAGGCTGATCCCTAGCTGGATCCCAGCTGCCTCTCCACCCAGGAAGCGACGTGGGCCTTGGTGCTCATGGGAGATCACTATTCTAGAGGGTTCTTCCTCATCCACCAGAGAGGAACCTGTCTATGCCAGCAATCAGCATGAACAGGATGAGGAAAATGAGGGGGTATGAGGAGGCTGGAGAGCCAAGGGGCTTCGGGGGACAGAGACTGAGCTGAGGGGGGGAGGCGGGAGCCTAGAGCCTGCAGGACCTGTCGCCTCGCCAAGAAAGTCTCTCCAGTAAGGGCAGCCAGGCATCCCAGAAGGCGTGAGCAGAGGAGTATCAGCTGGCTGCAGCATGGATGGCCTGGGGCACTGAGGGGCCTCTGCTTTTTACATCAAGCAACCACCCACTTCCAGCCTTTTTCCTTCTGACCAAAGCAGGCAAGACCCAGAGGACTGCCCAGGAAGCTAATCCTGCAGCAGCCTGCGCCTGGGGGCCGCCCCATGAGCAGGGTGGACAGACATGCTGCGTGCTGCGCAGGTCCCTGGCCACCTGGAGGGACGCAGGTCTCACCACTGCTGGGGCCAGCTCACCCAGGACTGGCTCTCAGTACCCAGAGGCCATGAGGACAGTGGCCCGGGAAGGATAGCCAGCAACCTGTGAGCTGCTCCCACGTAGGCATGTGCACACGTGCTGGTCAGCAATAGTGAAACTAACCATAGCAACAGGAGGGTCATTACCAGTTTAGCCAGGACTAGCCTCCATGCCCAGCATCTTACAGGAACTCCCAATCCCTAGTGGTTACTGGCTGAGTTGGGCCTCAAACACAGGTCATCTGCTTCCAAAGCCTCCCATGGCTCCCACACTGGCTTCCACAGCAACTGACATGGGCCTTGCACCCCTGCCCAGGATGCCAGGTGCCTGGTGTGACTGCTCTTTGCTCTGTAGCGTTCTGCTTTTGAGCCCTGGCCCCTCTATGTGAGGAACTTGAATCCACAAGTGCGGGAAGGAGAGATGCCTAGTGCAGCAGTCATGGCTGTGGGTGCAGGGGAAGAATGCTGAGATTCGACTCCTGCCTTCATTCTGACTGTGTGTCCTTGGGCAGGTCACCAGCTTCTGTGCCTGGCTGGCCAGATCAGTGCCTGCCACATGGGAAAGCCTCTTGAGTAGGCTGTCATTATAATACTATCATTATCATCCTCATCATCACCACCACCATCATCACTATCACCATCATCATCAATCACCATTGTCACCATGATCGCCATCATCAATCACCATCATCACCATCATGATCGCCATCATCACCACCACTACCACCACTGTCATGATCATCACCACCATATCACCACCATCACTAACACCACCATCATCATGATCATCATCATCACCACCAGCATCATCACCTATCATCACCATTACCACTACTACCACCACCGTCATCATGATCATTGCCATCATCACCATAAGTATTATCACCATCATGATCACCACCATCACCACCAGCATCATCATCACTATTATCACCATCATCACTACTACCACCATCATCATGATCATCGCCATGATCATCACCATCATCATGACCACTACTACCATCATCATGATCATCATCGCCACTACATCACCACCATCATCACCATCTCCACCACCGTCATCACCATAACCATGATGACCATCATAATCACCATCATCACTACCACCAGCATCATGATAACCATTATCACCATCATAATCACCGTCATCACCATCACCACTGCCATCATCATGATCATCACCACCATCATCACCATCACCACTACCATCACCATCATCACCATAACCATTATTACCATCACCACTACCACCATCATGATCATCGCCACTATCATCACCATTATCACCATCACTACCACCGCCATCACCATAACCATTATCACCACCATGATCACCATCATCACCATCAAGATCACCATCATCACTACCACCAGCATCATGATAACCATTATCACCATCATAATCACCATCATCACCATCACCACTACCACCACCATCATCATGATCATCATCACCACCACCATTACCACCATCACCACCACCACCACTACCACCATCACCATTATCACTGCCAGCAGAATCATCACCACCACCATTGTCATCATCACCATCATCATCATGATCATCATCACCATCACTCTGAGAGTTCCCAGGCTGACTTGGCCCCAGGAATGAGCATTTTCATCCCAGCCCACCATGACAGTCAAGATCCTGCCTGCTGGGCTGGGTCCCAAGGTGAACCTCTTGGTGGTGACACTTGTCTTTCCACAACACGACCTGAATATCCTCCCGGTCGTACCTTCCGTCACATGATAGGAGTCCAGCAGGGACAGATGATTGCTTGTGCAGTCACGGGGGAAGTAGCTCCCAGCAGGAGAACCCAGTTCTGAAGCCTAGTTTTCAACCTAGAAATGTCCTATGCTCCTCCCAGCCACAGCAGATGAAATAAAACAAGACCACGCCTTCCACTAGTGAGCAGCCACCGGTTTCTCAGGGGAGGGGTGGGAGGTAGACACCAGCCCACACCAATGCCTGGACAGCCTTTAGGAATCGGGGTGTGTTTGTGAGCCCGAGTGACCTGCACAAAGACTGTAGAACGTTCTCATGGCACAGTGTGGGTTTAGGCCCCCTCAACTAATCCTGCTCTGTTTATGAAGCTCCAAGTGAAGACCCCATCAGGCAGCTCTGGAGAGCCAGGGCCTGCTGTGCAGGTGTCATTAGGGGCTGTTAGGGGCCCTGTAACCTGATTCGCATAGGCATCTGAGGCACCGCTGGGCACCTGAGCCACGTGGCTGTTTTCACCCCAATGCCCCTCCCCAGGGTTCCAGCAGCCTTGTGCCTCTCACCTTGTGGGCCTGGTCCAAGGCCTGTTTCCGGTAGTCCAGCTCCTCGTCCAGGTAGCCCTTCTGCTTACTGAACAGCTCCTGAAACACAGGAGGACCATGCCTCTGTCTCGGATGTCCCACCTGCAGCGCCGAGCCGCAGAACCTCAGGGAAGGTGCCACCAACCTTCTCACTCTCCAGATCCACCATCTTCCGCTGCAGTGCCGCCTCTGTCTCCTCAATCTGCTGGAGCCACTGGGCACAAACAGAACAAGCAGGACAATGACCCCTAGGGTCCCCCACCCCGGCTTGCGGAGACAGCTGAGATAGAAGCCAGGGCAGCCTGGGTCTTCCTTCCTCTTCTCCTTAGGGAGGGGAGAGCCCAGCCCTCTCCAGGGAGTTGGGGCTGCGCTGGAATCATGGCCCTGCCCCTCCCACCCTTCAGGTGTCCAGGAAGTCTGCCCCTGATACCACCTCCAGGAGAGAAGAGACGCTGCTTTGGGGCACTGTGGGAGAGACACATCTGCAGAGCTCTGCCACCAAGGGCGGGGAGGGGTGGCCTGTTTCTCCAAACCCCTATGTGCCAGGAGCACCCCTTCTCCTTGCTGTGGGAGGCCCAGCCCACCAGGCAGGTCAGGGCCAGGGGTGGGACTAGGAGCAGGTGGTGGGCTGGGTGGCCCCAGAAGGGGGTCAGGATAAGTTGAACAGAGAATGCTGCCTGCAGACTCACCATACCTTCCCGCCTTTAGGAAGAAACCCAGACAGCGTTGCTGTCAGAGCAAAGTGGAGCTGAATCTGTCCTTTGCAAACATGCACAGTGGGTGCTGTCTGACCTGAGTATGCCAGATCTCCCAGGGCAGACAGAGTTTAGTGGACCCCCCAAACCCGGTCCTGCAGGCCACCAAGGTCCTCCCAAGAAGATCACCTTCTCTGAGCTGAGCAGGGCAGGAGACCCCAGGAGCCGGGCCCTCTCCCGAGTGTCCACACAGCTGCTCTTACCTTTTCGGCCAAGGTCAGGACTGTCCTGGCTTGTATGACAACCACCTGCTCCTCATTGGTCAGGTTCTGCATCCAAAAGCAGAACACAGGTGTGGTCAGAAGCAGTGCCTTTGGGGGTGAGGGTGAGTGACGGATGCATGGGGAGGCTGACTGGGGACGCCTGGGTGCCGGGTCACAGCTAAAAAGCGCTTTGACTGACATCTCCCTCCCAGCATCTCTGACACCCTCGACTCTCAAGCTTGTTCCCTCCAGGTGCTGTCGATTTTGTTTTCTCTCGTCCTCCCTCTGCTGGTAACCACCAGGTCTAGGTAACCAGCTGATGCAGATACAGATGCACTGCTCAGTGCAGGCAGAGGCTGCCACGACATCCCCAGCAGCAGCTGCTACTCTGCCCAGCTTGTCCCCTTCTGTGTCTAAAGCCAGCCTCTGCATGTGCACCTGTGGTTACGAAAACACCACTTGGAACAGTGGAGGAGAGACCACACGTTCACGGCTGTGAAATGGCTGAATCCCTGGAAGGTTTTGTCTTTTTACGCATGTTTTATTCATGCTTCCTCTCCACCTGAGGGGACCCTGGGTGGCCCTTCTGGGTAAAGTGATTACGGCTTTGGATGTGGGCACCTCACACTCTCAGACCCCGCTGCAGCCTGCATCCAGACCAGGGCTTCCCCGCTCTAGCTCACGAGTTGGCTGGGGCTGGGTGCCCGGTCCCTGCGGGGAAGGGAGGCCCTTGCTCCTCTCCCCAGAGCCTCTCTGATTCATGCCAGATCACTCCAAAAGCCCTGTCCATGCCGTTCTCTCCCTAGAGTGCAAGCTCCCTAATGGCAGGCAACTCTTACTGTACCCCCCCCCTCAACGTCCTCACGGGTCTCCCCCACCCCCAACGTCCTCACGGGTCTCCTCCCCACAACATCCTCACAGGTCTCCCCCCCGCCAAAGTCCTCATGGGTCTCCCCCGCAACAACGTCCTCACGGGTCTCCCACAGAGGAGAGTCAGGCTCAGTCTGTAGTCCATGGTGGGGGCCAGCTGCACTCCTGACTCAGGCAAGAACCTCATCCTGCACGGCTGGGGCTGGGTGCCCTCATCTCTCCTGCCCTGTTCCCTTCTCCCATGGCAGGGCTGGGCAGGGCTAGGCAGGCCACAGACTTCTCCCAACACTTTAAGTTGGGGAGGCTGAGCAGTTGGCTTCAGGGTGATGGAGGGAATCTACCCGATGTGGTTAAACCACAAGGTGCATGTGAAGCTTGCTCAACACTGACTGCACAGACAGGCTTGAAGGGATGCAGTCAGCCTATTGTCAGGAGCTCCCCAGCATCTCCACAGGTCCCCTGAGCTTAAGCCTGGCCATGAGTCCTCCAGTCCCCAACTTCCTCCATCCCTGGGCTCTGTGACGATGGCCTCAGAGGCTGCATGATGACTGCAGGGCCATCACACTCAGTGGCACTCTTGGTGGACAGCTATGGGGCTGGGCAGGAACCCTGAAATAGGCCTGGGCGTGGCTGGATGTCCCCAACTCTGCCACTACATCAGCTCTGTGACCCTGGGCAGTACCTCTGGGGACTCAGCCTCTCCAACTGTGAATCAGAGAGTTGCCCAATACAGTTCCCAAGACCTCATGAGGGGGCTGATACCCAGGACTGGACCCCAGAGCATGTCAGGTCCACGGCCACCCTGCTGTGACTCTTCAGCCACCTGTGACCACAATGGAGCCCCAGGTCTGAAAGAAGCAGACCCATACCCAGAGCCTCCCTGCTGAAAGCACCCCTGCCTTGTGCCTCACTGCTCCCCAGGGGCTGGGCAGGCAAAGGGAGAAGGGAGTCCTCTGATGCAGGACCCTGGATGGAGGGAGTAGATCAATGAAGGTAGGATGATGGATGGATGGATGGAGGGAGGGAGGGGCTGTGGATGGATGGAAGGATAAAGGATGAAGGATGGAAAGATGGATAAATAGCTTATGGAGGATGGATGGATGAATGGTGGATGGAGGATGCATGGATAAATTATGGAGGGTGGATGGATTGATTGATGGATTCTGGAGAATGGATGAATGAATGGAGGATAAAGAATGAAGGATGGATGGAGAATGAATAGATGGATTATGAAGGATGGATTATGGAGGATGAATGGGAGATGGATGGATGGGTGAAAGATTAATGGGTAGAATATGGTAGATGGAGAAGGAATGGATGGAGGATTGTGGATAGAGGACAGATGGAGGATGGAGAATGGATGGATTAGTGATGATGGATGATGGATGGATGGAGGATGGATGGACATATTGTGGATGATAGATAAATTCATGGATTAAGGATGATGGATGAAGGATAGATGAAGGATGGAGGACGGATAGATGGATTATGGGGGATGGATGGATGGATTACACAGGATAGATGGATGGATAGATATAAGACAGAGCATGAATGAAGGGCTAGGTAGATAATGCATTGATGGGGAATAAATGGATGGAGAGCACAGGATTAGTGATGGACGAATGAAAAGTGGGATGAAAGGGTGCGTTTACTTTGCCCACTCAGTAATTAACATCCTTTCAAGGAGTTTGCTATAGAAATTGGAACTCTGCCCCAATGAAATTTAGGGGTTATCTATAGAGTCTGCTTCTTCCCCCAAGCCAAGGAAGTGGAATCCCTAAGGGTCTTGGCTTGTCTAAGAGCAACAGCCCCCCCATCCTCACGGCAAGTCTGGAAGGGCTGAGAGAGAGACCCCAGAAGCTGGGCAGTGTGACGGGAAGTGCCGTCAGCTGGAAGAACCAGGTGTGCACAGCAGAGGTCCCACTGGGCCCTGGAGCAGTGTGAGGAACCCTCCGATTCTAAGCAGGCTCTGGGCCGCGGGAAGGGTCTCAGGCAGCGTGGCCCATGGCAGGGCTGTGGGAGGCTGGTAGGACTCCTGGACCCCAGAGGGGCAGGGCTGGGCTGGGGGTTGTGGGTGTGAGGGGCATGCACAAGCCAGGAGAGCGACATACACTTACGGCGTTATCGCCCAGGATGTCCAGCTTCTTCATCAGCTCCGCGACCACAATGTCCTAAGGCACAGAGGACAGGCAGGGGTGAGCGGCCTCGGGTGGGCAGAGAGGGCGAGGCAGGGCGGGACAGGGCATGGGGCGGGGTAGAGGGGGCGTGGCAGAAGGGGCGGGACGGAACAGGGCATGGGGCGGGGCGGAAGGGGCGGGGCGGAACAGGGCATGGGGCGGGGCGGAAGGGGCGGAAGGGGCGGGGTGGGGCGGAAGGGGCTGGGCGGAACAGGGCATGGGGCGGGGCGGAAGGGGCGGAAGGGGCGGAAGGGGCGGAAGGGGCGAAAGGGGCGGAAGGGGCGGAAGGGGCGGGGTGGGGCGGAAGGGGCGGGGTGGGGCGGGGCAGGACATGGGGCGGGGCAGAAGGGGAGGGGTGGGGTGGGACAGGGCATGGGGCGGGAAGGGGCGGGGCGGGGCTCACAGTCACGCCTTCGGCCTCGCAGTACACCTGGAGGGGGCTCTTCCCATCCACGAAGGGCGTGTGGTGGAAGTTGATGGCGGGTGACTTCCTCTCCCTCTCCTAGGACAGAGGGGCAGAAGGGTGAGCCGCTTCCTTCCCATCCCTTCCCTCCAAGAGGGCTGTGCTGGGGCCTGAGGAACATGGGCCAAGACCATGGAACCAAGGATCAACACAGCATTTATGAAAACCAAACCGCAGCAGCAGCCGTGGTGGCAGAACATGCACTGGACCTGGACCGGCCCACGAGGACCGTGCCCCTGTGTATTCGCCGACCCCAGATGGGCCGGGCAGAGTTCATCACACTCCAGTCACGTGGCCTGGGCAGTCCCCACCCTGAACCCACGGCACATCCCTCGGTGAATCCCAGGGGCTATGGGGAGGACCAGGGGAGGGGCTGCAGGTCGCATCCCCTGCAGGCCTAACCAGAAGAGTCTTTGGAGGACACAGGCCAGTGCTGCTGCCACTGTCCCCACAGGCAAGCCCACGTGGCCGAGGTCATCCACACATGGCGTGACCACACAGCTGCCCTGTCCTCCGGCGGTGGACGGGAGGGCTCTAAGAGGGGCTCAAGCTGGACTCCGAGGCCTCAGGTGCTGGCCCCAGACGGAGGCCTCGCGGTGTGTGTGGTGCTCGGCAGGGGCGGCCCCTGTGTGGGCCACTTCCTCCCAGCCCCAGAGGTGGACTGCCCTTATCCTGAAACAATCACAGGGACGTGGCTGCTCACACCCGGCCTGAGCTGCCTGGTGGGATCCCCCTCCTCCCTCCTGTGCAGGTCATGGCAGAGGACACAGGGCCAGGGACAGCAGGGCACAGGCAAAGGGCTGCCAGTCGCCGCGTGGCCCCCACTGCCCTCACTCAGGGGCAAGAAACAAATGTCTGCCGACCACCGAGGCCTGGGCATGGCCGCACACCAGCTGCAGCAGGGCCACGGGGGTGGATGGAGGACGGACATGCCGGCTCTTCGGCCCACAGATCTGGAGGAGATGCTGCACTGTCACCCGTCGTGCTTTTGTTTTGTTTCCCTGAATGACACTGAGCTCCATGGCCCATGTTCCCCATTGACACATGCTTTGGGTGGCCGGTATGAAGAGGTGGCGATTTACAGCCATTTGCCTCTTTCCTCCCTGAGCCAGCCTTTTGGGTTCATGTTCAGGGGTTTATGTGGGTTAGGAAGGCTGAGGACTGGATCCCTGACACAGCCACAGGCCATGGCCACAGGCCACAGTGCCGGCCATTGGCCCAGCTACCTCAAGCTCCAGGATCCTGAACTCCAGCAGCTCATTTTGGTCTCTGGCATCCTGCACCTCGTGTCTAAGCCGAGCCTCTTCCGTCTCCATTTGTTTGATCTATAACATAAAAGATGCATGAGGTGAGGGGTCTGGTTCTCTCCCACCAGAGGTCTTGGAAGGACAACTCCAGGCTGACTGGACAGCGGCTAACTGGACAGCTGCTGGCTGTCGGGGAGGCCAGTTGGCTGGCCAGGTGCCCAGCCCTGGAAGCTCCTCACAGCCCTGGGTATGTTTGGGTCTGTCCTAGTGAGACAGCCCAGCCATCCGGTGGTGGGTGGGGCTGGGCAGGCAGCACCGCATACCACAAGCCAGGAGCCTGGAGGTCATAGTGGGGCCCTGAGCCTCGGTGGCCCCTGGGCAGGGAGGGGGAAGGGAGGCGTCAAGGATAAACGTCTCCAACAGGGGCTGTGCACCGCAAGCCAGGAGCCTGGGGGCCTTAGTGGGGCTCTGAGCTAGGATGAGGAAGGGAGGTTGTGGAGGATAAATGTCCCAAGTAGCTCCCCTCCCTGGTGCCCCTTGGAGCCCAGGCTGTTCCCAATGGAAGGAGTGGGTACCGTGGTCACCTGGCCACCAGAATTCACTTGGCTAATTAAGGGGTTGTTTAAGCGGAACCAGTTGGGAGTAAACTGGGTGCAAGAGTCCCCCATGCCTTCCAAAGGGTAAATGACATGGCCCATGGCACGTGTCCTCAGCAGCCTCATGGGGGCAGGGTCCACCAGGGGCAGACAGCTGTGTGTATGGACAGGGTCCACCAGGGGCAGACAGCTGTGTGTATGGACAGGGTCCACCAGGGGCAGACGGCTGTGTGTATGGACAGGGTCCACCAGGGGCAGACGGCTGTGTCCATCCCCTGCAGCTGAGCTTGGGGGACTGAGGGAGCTGCTCCAGTGCTCAGGGGACCAAGATAAACTCAGGAGCATCCTCAGAGTGAGCCGGCTCAGGGGGAGCTGGACCCTCCCGCAGGGCCAGCTGTGTGCCGCTGCACAGTGGGCCTACCGTGGAAAACCTGCAGGGCCAGGAACGTGAGCCACTCCCATGTAGCCAGAGAAAAGCATGGCTCCAGGTGTGCACATGGGCACGTGTGTATGTGCACAAGCATTTCTGTGTGTGTGCCAGCATTTCTGTGTGCATGTGTTCAAGTGCGCATGCAAACATTTCTGTGTGTGCCGTGTTCAAGTGTGCATGCAGGCATTTCTGTGTGTGCGCAAACATTTCTGTGTGTGCCGTGTTCAAGTGTGCATGCAGGCATTTCTGTGTGTGCATGTGTTCAAGTGCACATGCAAACATTTCTGTGTGTGCTGTGTTCAAGTGCGCATGCAAACATTTCTGTGTGTGCCGTGTTCAAGTGCGCATGCAAACATTTCTGTGTGTGCCGTGTTCAAGTGTGCATGCAGGCATTTCTGTGTGCATGTGTTCAAGTGTGCATGCAGGCATTTCTGTGTGTGCATGTGTTCAAGTGCGCATGCAAACATTTCTGTGTGTGCCGTGTTCAAGTGTGCATGCAGGCATTTCTGTGTGCATGTGTTCAAGTGTGCATGCAGGCATTTCTGTGTGTGCATGTGTTCAAGTGCGCATGCAAACATTTCTGTGTGTGCCGTGTTCAAGTGTGCATGCAAACATTTCTGTGTGTGGGTGTTTAAGTGTGTGCCCTTAAGTGCATGTGAATCTCTGCCTGTGCCAGTATTTACTTGGCACACACAGCATTGTGCTGAGCCCTGTGGAAACAGCTCTTGTAATTTAAGAGATGTTCCATGTGTCCACAGGAAACATGGGGGTGTCGTTCGCCATTCAAGATGTGAACCAAGCCTAAAGCAGGACCCCCAGAGGGCATGACCGGCCATGGTCTGACAGCAGTGCAGGGGCTGTGGTGGACGTCTCCGTTTGTCTGAAGCTCTGTCCTGCTGGCACACGTCAGACTCGTCAGCCAGGCTACCCTGGCTTCTCCCCAGAGGGCCGCACCTGCCAGTGTGAGATACTGCTGCCTCCTCAGGACACCTGTCCCTGCCCATGGACAAGTGGGGCAGGGGTCACAACACAGAGCACCCCTCACCCGTGCGTGGTAATGACAGCCCTGCTGGCCCTCCTGCCCCTGGACCCGTAGCCAGTCCCGCCCCAGACTCGGGCCACATCACCTGCTCCCACAGTTGCGGGGTGCACCCCTCTTGGGATGGCTCTGGATTGCCCAGACCTAAGTCTAGGGCCCTTGGTGCTGTGACCCCCTCTTTAACCCAGTGCATGGAGCAACTGAGCCAGGTGGGCCTGATGTGGTGGGGAGGTGCCCTGAGAGAAACCTACACTCCCTTCCCTGCACCCCAGGCAGAAGCTAAGGCCACCGAGAGCAGCCTGGCCGCACGTCGCATGTTCTGATCTGTTTTTCGTCTGAGAAAGTCTTCCAGCCCACAAAGCCCGGGCCAGGGTGGGGGTGGGGGCAGGGGTGGGGCATCACTTTGGGAGCCTCTTGTCATCCGGGGCCAAGACAGCCTGGACCTGGGTCTGCCAGGTGACGCCCTGGCAAAGTCTCAAACACGCACTCACTCAACCAGGCTGGTCCGTGGGCTCTTCCCTGACGACCCTCCAGCTTCCCCACAGGCGTTGCTGGAAGGAGACTTCCCTGACCCAGCCAGGCTTCCCAGGGGGATAATCCCAGTGGTCTCAAAAGGGCACCTCTGTCACGATGCGCTAACCAGCCGACCCACAGAACCATCAGCACAACAGGACATGAATGGAGATGCTGCTGCAGACGGGCCTGCCCGGACCCCGGAGAACAGGCCCCAGCTCCCTCTGTCCAGGCTGTCCTCCTCCCCAGGGCTCCTGACAGGGTCCCGCAGGAGGGAGCAGAGCAGAAGGGGCCTGGGGCAGAGCCATTCAGAAGCCTCAGCCCTTGCTCCACCCTTCGCAGGGACCACTGCAGCCCCCAGGAGCATAGAGCAAGTCCTGCCAGGGTCTCCAGGGGTTCGGGGCTCACCTTTTCCACAAGCTCTTGATTTCTCCGGTACAACGCCTGCTTTTCTTCAATCCATTTCATATCCTTGAAAATTGAATTGAAAGAAATAAAGACATGGAGAGAGGAACTCATAAACTAACGTTTAAATCGTGATGTGGCAGAACACCAAAGACCAGTCTGGTCAATGTGGCAAAGCCCCATCTCTACAAAAAAATACAAAAATTAGCCGTGCGTGGTGGCACATGCCTGTGGTCCCAGCTACTTGGGAGGATGAGGTGGGAGGATGAGGTGGGAGGATGGCTTGAGCCCAGGGGTCGAGGTCGAGGTTGTAGAAAGTTATGATCGCACCACTGAAGCTTGTCTTCAAGTGCAGCCAAATACTTCCCACCCACGTGTGCCCCCTACGCCCGCACAGATGGCTGCAGGCTCACCTGCCCTTGCTCTGCCAGGGCCTTCTCCAGGTCCTCGATCCGTGCCTGTGCCCTCTGCACTTCGGCTTGTAGCTGCTCACGGGTCTGTAGGATGGGAGGAAAAATACATCAAATTTTCTCTAAAAGCCAGAGAGACAGCACACACACTTGCGAGATATCAGAAGGGTCTGTCTTTTGGTTCAGTTCATTGAGAAGTGGCTGTTCACCCTTCCTTTGGAAGAGATGCTTTCTAAGAGAGAGAGAGAACTGTTTTCTGTTGTTGTTTTTTGTTTGTTTGTTTGAGACAAGGTCTGGCTCTGTCATCCAGGCTGGAGCTCAGTGGCACAATCTTGCCTCCCTGTAACCTCTGCCTCCTGAGCTCAAGTGATCCTCCCATCTCACCCTCCCGAGCAGCTGGGACCATAGGCGTGCACCACCACACCCTGCTAATTTTTGTATTTTTTGTAGAGACGGGGTTTCACCATGTTGCCCAGGCTGGTCTCAAACTCCCAAGTTCAAACAATCTGCCTGCCTCAGCCTCCCAAAGTGCTGGGATTACGGGAGTGAGCCACTATGCCCAGCCCTGGAGGGAGAACTTTAAGGCTTATTTGAAGCAAGAGATCTCACTTAGATTCCAAGGGGAAATTCTGCAGGTTAATTTTGAGGACTTGTTAAGAGAAATCTTTGTTTACAGGATGGCACAGCTGATGAGGATGACTGATGCCTAGTGTGTGCTCAGCCCTGCCAGGTGCCGGCCAGAGGGCTTTGTTCGAAGGACTCTCCACACGGACCCGCTGGAAGCCCCAGCTGATGTGGCTGCCTATACTGGAGCTGCTCTGCTGGAAGCCCCAGGTAATGCGGCTGCCTGTGCAGGAGCTGCCTCGGCCCAGGGCTCGCTGCCTTCCTGAATTTTGTGTTCCTTAACTGACTCCCAGAGCCCGCCGCACGTCTGCAAGAAAAGCCCTGGTGCTTTCCCTGTCAGCATCCTGGTTTGTGAAGTCCCTCCCGAACGCCACCAATGCTTCTAGCCAAGGTCTGAGCCACCCTCCCTTAATTCAGTTTGCTCTGGTGGCTCCGAACCATGGGGCATTTCACCCCACGGTGGCTCCTGCTCTCCTGGGGATAGCTTCCAAGGGAGGGGTGCGTTTCGGGACCACAGGGTCAGAGGATCCAGCCGGGGTGGGGGATGGGCGAAGGTGTGGCCTGTGGTGCCCCCCGAGTGCTAGGTCCCAGCTCCCTGCCCCCAGGCCCTCCTGGGCTCCTGCCACCACCCTGGCCTCTTCCCTCCCTTAAGGGGTCACAATTGTGGGTGTGAGCCCTTGGGTTGGAGAATCCTCAGCAGAGGGAATTCTAGTGAGTCCTGACCCTGCTTCCAGACAGGGAAACGGAGCCCACAGAGGGCTGTGGGCCCCCCGCAGCCTCAGGACCGTGGCAGGGATGGGCCCACGTCCATGTCTTCAGACGCTTGTCCTCTCCCACCCCCTTCCTTATCCTGAGGCTTCCTCGACTTCCACAGTGAGGAGCGACATTTCCAATTATAATACAGAATCAGACTGCGGGATGCCGGATAGTCTATTTTCTTCATTAATCTTTGCTGTATCTTCCAATTTCTAAAATAACCATGCAGCCCCTCTTGGCGTCAGATTTTCCTCTGATTCTAAATGACATTAAAAAATTTTTACATGCAATTTGGACATTTTCACTCTCTAAGCAAAGCTTCTGAGTTCTGTGTTTTCATGTGGCCCCCAAGCAAATGTTTCTCTGGCAGCTGACAGGAAAAAGGGAAGACAGGACGTTTCCTCCAGCTCCCCCAGCTCCTGGCGAGCTTGGCCAGGAGGATGCGGCTGCTGCCCCGCCCCTGCTGTGGGGGGAAAGGCTGGGCCCGTGAGGCTCTGGGCCGTCTCGGGACTGCCGTGCTTTATGATGCTCTGAGCCAAGGCTTTGACTTTTTCCTTTCTCCAAGGGTCATGAAAAAATTAAGTCAAAGTGAAAGCAGCGATATTTAAAGTCCCCAGTTACGCAGACAAATCTCTCCGAGCCTCAGAAGGGGGAGTCAGGCCTCCCCACTCAGGACAGGAGGAGGGGCACGGAGGGGCAGAGCGCTCCCTTAATTTTCACAACAGACATCCCCAGTGCGGTGCCAGGAAGGCAGGAGGGAAACCAGCCATGTCACCAGGGTGGTCTAGGTGGACAGAGGGTGAGGCCGGCGGCTCCCTGGGGGCACTAGTGTGGACCACACTAGGGGTGCTCTGTGCACACTCTCCCCTCGCCCCAAGAGGTCCATTCCCCACCCAGCTCAGCCACCCTAAGTTGCAGAATTGCTGGACACTGGCGTCTCTGGCCCTGCAGGGTGGTTGTGGGGTGGGGGAGGCTGATGGGAACCCCACACCCCACAGCTGCCCGCTCTGGAGAACCCCTCAGCTCCCCCAGAAAGCAGCCCGTCTCGCTGTGAGGGGCACCAGGTGCAGGTCCTTCAGCGGTTTCCCTTCCAAGCCTCAGGAAGTGAGGGGGGGTGGCGAGAGGACCCCCGACCTATGACCCATGCTCTCCCCACAACGCCTGGTGCCTGCACTACCCCCCGCGGCCCACAGAGGGCACCCGCCAGCCACACTGGGGCCTTTCCTGGGGGACGATGCTAAGGTGAGCCAGGGAAGCAGGTGGAGGGACACGGCCGCTGGGATCCTGCCCAGTGGGGAGGCCAGGGGAGAGGGTCCAGGGCCAGGGCAGGCACAGCCTGCGTGAGCATGAATGACCTCCGCAAGTTTCAACACTGACCTCGATGCTGCCATGGGTCACTGCCATCCTGCCAAGAGCGGGAGAGGAAGTCTGGAAGGAGACCCATCCTGGGCGTTGTGGGCCCCTGCCACCACCACCATCCCCCAGGACACTCACACCTGTGCCTGGCACTGCTCTGGGCCACCCTCCCACCTGGGCCAGTTCCCAGCACCGGACTCCCCAATCCCTGGTTTTAATTGGCCTTCATGGGCACCATCAGGACCGGAGGCAAAGACAGGAGAGCAGGGGCTCAGACCCAGGAGGGATGGCGAGAGAGGTGTCCCAGCCCGGGCCATGGGGTCAAGCAGGAAGGCACAAGGGGGCCCGGAACGCGCGCGGTGGAAGTCATGTAGACCTTAACTTCTCGCTCTGCATCCAGCGTCCCTCCGACCTGCTCCTGCAACAAGGCGTAGGCGCGCTGCAGGGCCTGGTACTCCATGGTCAGCTGCCGGAACCTCAGCTCCGTCTCCTCCTTGGCCATGCCCTGGAGAGACACGGATGCCACACCCACAGAGACGCAGCGTCAGCGGCCAGCACCTCCTCCGACGGCGGGGCCCCGGGGCTTCCCTTCTCCCCAGACATCAAATGGTGTGTGTGGGGGGGGCATCTCTCTAGCAGTGTGAGGGAGGGGACCCACTCCAGTGTGCAGGGAGGGGCGGCTGCCTGGGGACGCAGTGCTGTTTGGAGAAAGGTTTTCCCTGGAGAGGGGAGCACCGAGCCCTGCAGTGGGAGCTGAGCCGGCTGCACGGCCGAGGCCAGGGTGAGACTGCTGGGCTGGTGGCCATGGCCAGGGGCTCAGCTGGGGCTCCTGCTTGCCAGCCAGGCTGCCCTGACCCAGCAGACTCTCCGTTACCAACCAGGCCTGCATACGCTCTGCTCTGCTGAAATGCGTCCTGGGAAGAAAGCTGGGCTTTGTAAAGGGTGTAAAGTACCCCAGGCAGCACGTCTCCTCCCAGGCGCACTCCTGCAGGCTCGCCCTGCTAGCTGCAGTGCCCCCCACCACCCCAGGGAGAAGACAGGTGAGCCTGGCCTTCAAAGGGTCCCAGTGGGCCCCCGGGGCTGAAAGGCTTGGCCATGTCCAGGAGTGACTGAGCCCAGAAACCTCGGCCTGGCCCAGTTCCCCTGCCCCACCCTGCACCTGAGGCTGTGCGAGAACGTCTCAGGTCCCTCAACAGGTCTGTGGCCACTGGGCCGCCCTCCAGGGTCTGCCAAGGGAGGCCCAATCCATGGCTGTGCCATTGGCTGCGGACCCCGCTCCTTGTCCCACGGCTACAGGGCCTGCGTCCCACAACGCCAAGTCCTAGCTTCCGACGTGGTGCTGAAATGGCTGCCTGGACCTGAGGGTAGCCGTCCTTCCGGAAGAAGGGGCTGGTGGGCAGAAACGCCTGTGCTGTTATCAGAAAGAAAACTCCTGCTCAACACCCCTCTCACCCTAATGTGCTTTTGGCACTGGGACCAAACTCCCTGAAGAGTGGTTCGGACCCTCTTGGGGAGGCCCCTTAAGAAGGGAGAGCTCACCGTACCCCTGTGCAGAAGGGGCGGAGGCTCAATGGCAGGAGGAGGCAAGGTTTGGCCTTCATGGGAGCAAGAAGCGGGCCTCAGCCCACACCCCGAGCCACGTCATCGGAGCTTCTCACCACGTCCAAGCCAGCTATCAGCGGGTCAGTGCCAGTGAGGGCTGCCAAGGGCTTCCCTGTGAAAAGCTGGCAGCCCACGCCCAGCCAAGCCCAGGACCCAGCAGGAGACCCTCATTACCTCCTCCAAGCCCAGGACCCAGCAGGAGACCCTCGTTACCTCCTCCAAGTCGTCATCCGGGGTGCACGGGGTCTGGTCCGTCCTGTCTGTTTGGTAAGAGATGGAGGAACCGTCGGATTCCAGGGAGGCCTCTTCATCGTATCCAAAGAAGGTTTCCACAACAACCGGCTTGTGACCGAAAGGCAACATGTCAGTTCAAACCAGACCCAGGCACAGCTGCCTTCACCCGCCTCCTCCTCCTGCTGCCCAACGGTGGGGGCCACAGCCCCGCCCTGCAACACACTCCCATCTCTGTCCCCGGCCGTCCTGGTGCAGGCCAAGGAGGTGGCCTGGGTGTGAGGGGGCTCTATGGCAAGGCTGGCGGGGCAGGTGGGAGAGGGGCCTGGAGCCCCGTGGGTGAGCAGGTCCTGGACCTGCTCTCAGTGGTGGGGAATGAGGCCCTTCAGGGGGCGCCGTCCCTGCACTTTCCTGAGGGTGGTGCCCAGGATAATGGAATTGATGGTGGGTGCCTTCTCTGTGTGATCTCATTCCCAGTGATGCATTTCTGTTCTATTTTTTAAAGTTTCAGCCCTTGACTGATTGGAATAAAAACAAAAACAGGATCCTCCGCCAGCTGGTGTGAGAGGCCCTGCCTTCGGGGACCCCCCAGGTTCACCCTGATGTCTGCATCCTTAGGGTCCCCTCACCCCTGCTTTCGAGAATCGCAAGATTCCTCATCTGGGTTTAGAAGTGTTACAAAACGCAAAGCCTGCCATCTTCTCAGTCCCTTCCGCCGTAGCCACAGTGGCCTCCAGGTCTCCTCCCAGTTCTTCTGCCAGAACTTTCCAGCAAAACTCCCTCTGGGACCCCAAGGCCACCGGCTTCTCCTACCCCCTGCCAACCGCTGGCCCCTGTCCTGTGTGCCTCCCCACACCCTGTGTCCTCCCTTCGCAGGGCCAAGGCATCTGCTGGACACGTCCACATCCCAGAGGGGCCCCGAGCAGGGAGGGCCGGGACAGCTCCTCCTCCCCACCTTTCAGAGGGCAAGTGTTTGTGACCAAAGAGCATCTAACAACCTAACAGCAAACACTGCTGACTGCAGAAAAGCAACACACACACACACACACTCTCTCACACATACACACACACTCACATACTCTCACACTCTCACACACACACTCTCACACACTCATACACACACATACTCTCTCACACACACACTCACATACACACACACATACTCTCACTCTCACACACACTTATACTCACACACACACACACTCTCACATACACACACACTCACATACTCTCACACACACACACTCACACACTCATACACACACATACTCTCACACACACTCATACACACTCACATACACACACACATACTCTCACTCTCACACACACTTATACTCACATACACACACACGCTCACAATCTCTCACACACACACACTCATACTCTCACACACACATATGCAGACACACATTCACATCTACACACTCATAGACACATACATACACACGTAAACACACATACATATACATAAATGCGCACACACACACATACACACAGACACACTCAACATAAAGCAGGAGATGAGTTAGGTGCTTGGGCAGCTGCTCCAAAGCCTCCCTTAATAAAACACATAGGTTTATCACAAAGGATTCTACTGTAGAGAAATGACAGGCGTTCACATTTCCTGGGGACGTGGGTCTGCCCTGTGGGGCCTGTGGATGAGGCTGCTGCAGCGTGTAGGAGTGGCCGAGGATGGTGAACGGCAGGACAGGCGAGTGTGGGGTGTGTGCCACAGCCAGGATGGGTGAGTGTGAGCCGCCACAGCCGCCCGTCCTCAGAGCCATGCATCCCACGGGTCGTGGGGACTCGGACCTACACGGGCAGTGAGGACGCCAGAGCTGCCACCTCTTCATTGCTAGTGTTGCTGGTACGTTTGTTACCAATTCCTATCTTCTCTTGGAAATTGAAAGAAACAAGTTTACTAAAACTGATGAACAGAATATTTACTTTGGGTCTTATTTTGGTCATTTCACAGTAACAATTTTTAGAAATAATAAAAATTTTCTTTTCATCTCCAAAGACTGACTCCTATTAAGCACGCACCAGCACGCTCTCCACACACATCAGCACTCTCCACACACGCAGGCGCAGTCCTCTGCACACACACCCGGTGTACTCTCCACACACACACACCCGGTGTACTCTCCACACACACACACCCGGTGTACTCTCCACACACATCAGCACTCTCCACACACGCAGGCGCAGTCCTCTGCACACACACCCGGTGTACTCTCCACACACACACACCCGGTGTACTCTCCACACACACACACCCGGTGTACTCTCCACACACATCAGCACTCTCCACACACGCAGGCGCAGTCCTCTGCACACACACCCGGTGTACTCTCCACACACACACACCCGGCGTACTTTCCACACACGCGGGCACCATCCTCTGCACATACACCCGGTGTACTCTCCACACACACACACCCGGCGTACTTTCCACACACGCGGGCACCATCCTCTGCACACACACCCGGTGTACTCTCCACACACACACACCCGGCGTACTCTCCACACACGCGGGCACCATCCTCTGCACACACACCTGGTGTACTCTCCACACACACAGGCGCGGTCCTCTGCACACACACCAGCATACTCTGCACACACGCGGGCACCATCCTCTGCACACACACACCGGCGTACTCTGCACACACACCGGCACTCTCCACACACGCAGGCACGGTCCTCTGCACACACACAACAGCGCTCTCCACACACGCGGGCACGGTCCTCTGCACACACACAACAGCGCTCTCCACACACGCGGGCACGGTCCTCTGCACACACACAACAGCGCTCTCCACACACGCGGGCACGGTACTCTGCACACGCACCGGCACTCTCCACACATGCGGGCTCGGTCCTCTCTACACATGCAGGCACGGTCCTCTGCACACACACACCAGCGCTCTCCACACACGCGGGTGTGGTCCTCTGCACACACACCCAGTGTACTAGCGTACTCTACACACGCAGGCACGGTCCTCTGCACACCCTCTGGGTGTCCTCTCCACACACACCCGCGCTCTCCACACACGCGGGCTCAGTCCTCTGCACACACACCTGGCATACTCTCCACACGTGCTGGTGAGCTGTTCCTTACCTTGGGAAGTTTTGCCATTTTCTTTCTTTGCTTCCGGAATCTTAACAGCTTGTCCCGCTCCTGCAGAAGTCAGTTGAAGAGGTTGTGTAAGTGGTGGAAGAGCTCCATCAGTTTCAGTCCACAGTTTACTGCCCCCGTCCCATCATTTGGATGACAGGGAAGATGGTGTCCGGGCTGGCTGTCCCCACACCACAGTGGGAGGCCCTAGCTCCAGCTCTGCTGCTTGGGGAGCTCATGTCTCCAGGGTGACATGGGCAGCTCCCCAGTGAGGCGGGCTCTGAGCTTGTTTTGCTCAATCGTCCACCAGCCCCTCCTTCTGAATGCATCTGGGGGCCACACGGGGCAGATGACTTGAGGGTCACAGATTTGTGGGAAGCTGGAAGGGACTTAGGACCACGGCCCCTCTGGACCCTGCAGGGGTGGCATCCACATCTGTGTGGGGACTGACGCCCTCAAAATACTAAGGAGACTGGGGTCCTGCTGCTCTCCAGGGAACCCATGCTGTGGTTTCATGGCCGTGATGGTGAACCTCTTGGGCTGCGGCTGCCTGTCTGTGCTGGCCAGGGAGAAATGCATGGTGGGGTGAGCAGCCAGAGAAGGGCAGCCATCTGACCCTGGCCATTAACTCAGAAACACGATCGTCCCAAGCTGGTGCCATCTCAACTGGGGCATCAGTGGGCATCCCTAGCTCCTGTCTGACCCACTCGGAAGGGCATCAGCCACCCGTGCACAGCCTTGGCCAGGTAGCACTGCAACAACAAAATCCACCCGAAAGGCTGCCGCGGCCACTTCTGTCTGGTCTGTGAGGAGCCCTGGGCACAGAACGGGTCCCGCGGGTGACTGGGTGGAGAGCGGGGGCGGGGGAGGCGGGCGCTGACCGTACTTACTAACACGCTCTTCACATAGCCGGCGGTCTCAAGGGTCTAGGAAAGGAAGACAGCACGTTACAGAACTGCTAAGGGCCCCTGTTAGCCAAGCCCCTTGGGAGCCAGAGGATGGTGCTGCGGCACACAGCCCGCCAGGTACCTTAGATAGTTCATCTATGAGGTTTTGCTGCTCCACAATCTGAAGCTTCAAGAAATCGACTTCTCTCTCATCCTGACTTTGATCAAGGTCGTTCAAGGAACTGGGTCTCCTTATGATTCCGGCTCTCTGTCTCTGAAACGCCAAGCAGCCCACACCACAAGTTGGGGGGTGAAGGGGTCTGGCTGAGCACAGTGGGCAGGAATCAACCCGCTGCCTCAACCCGCGCTGCCCACTCTCAGCTGCCCGGCTGGTGGTTTCTGCTCAGGCCTCAGCACAGCCCAGCTGTGAGGCCCTGGGGAAAGGAGGCCACGCGTAGGCCCAGTCCCGCAGCAAGAGCAGGTGTGTGCAGCCCGAACGGACACAGATGGGCCCTGCTGGTCTCCCAGAACGCATGGCTGGAGGGGATCGCTCAGAGCCCTGAAGCTGACACTGGGTTGTCTGTGCCCATTTCCCACCTGGCCACCGCTCCCAAATCCCTCCTGACTTTAACTCAGTGTGAAAAGAAGGGGGCTTCCGTAGAGAGGGGTATGGAGGGCGCCTCTCCTCCACGTCCTGCTGAATTACTCGTTGGGTAAACTCTGGCTTCATAGCCTTCAGGGTCTTCAGGGCAGGGAAACGCAGTGACACTGGCTGACGGCCCCCCACTCCTGGCTCGTGGCCTTGGCAGAGCAGAGACCTCCCACCCCTGACTCCTGCTCGGTGCTATGTGCCAGGCCTCTTCTCTTCCCCAACAGCCGGGACCCTGCAGCTTCTTACTACCTTTGCCTGGGATTTTCCGAATTGGAGGCGGCCTGTTCCAGGCCCTCAAGTGAGACGTGGGCAAACGGGCCTGGGGAGGGGATGCCCCACAGCCGCGTCCTTTGCACGGTCAGGGCCTCCTTCAAGGCTCCCCTCCCCAGGGCTGGGCTTGGCGGTTGCTCGCCCTCAAACATGCGTGAGGCCAGACTCCAGCAGAAGGCCTGATCGTCCGCCTGGGACTAGCTGTCACGCTAAATCTCGCATGGAGAAGGGAGGGGCTGCTGCCTGGAGCGCGCGTGCGGCCGTGGCCCCACGGAGCCCCCGACCCCCTCACCATTTCTATGTTCTCCTGGGTGACGAATTTTAACTTGTTTTCCATTCGGCGTAAAGCATGAGACAAATCCTCATTCTTCCGACTGAGGCGCTTGTTTTTATCCAGCAGTGGCTTGTACTGACTCTCGGCTTCTCTTACACGCTTTAACTGAAAGACAAAATTAATTACGATTGTTCTTTAAGTGGCAGGTCTCCACACAGAGTCTGAAGACTGACCAGAGCCTGGGCTGCAACAACGCAGTTCCCAGCCCACTATTTGGCAAGTCCATGCCTCCAAGTGGCGCCCACTCGCCCAGCGCCCAGGTGAACCCAAGCTCAGGGCTGGGCTCGGCGTCCGGGGCGGGTGAGTCCCGTCCCATTGACAGATGGGGATGAAGATGAAGACCAGCAGTCCGGAGCCAGTGCTTTGTTTTGCCAAGAAGGGCTGTGGTAAAACTGCCCAGCCCACTGGACCCTTGCAGACACGTGACAGCTCACGCACCCTCCAGGATCTCGAGTTACCCTGAAATCTCAGTGGCTATAAGGACCAATGGTGACAACCCCCTGAGGGGCCGTGTCTGCACATCCTAGATCATCTACAGAACAGAGAAGGCTTCCGTCCCCAGTAACGCAGGGCAGGGGTTAGTCAACCAGCCCTTGAGGGGTAAATGTGGCCCCTATCTGTTTTTGCTAATAAAGTTCAACTGGAACACAGGAGACTTAGATGCAAGGCCGATCCCTGCAACCACCACTCCTTTTCACAAGGAATTTTGAAAGTGAACTGCCCCCAGGTCCCTACCTCCGCAGTCACAAACCCCCGGGAGCCAGAAGCCCCCGCCCCCGCTCACCAGCTCATTCCTCTCTTCTGACAGCAAGGCGTTGCGGTCCTCCAGTTTGCGGATAATCGCACTTAACTCTGCAATTTTAAGCTGGAAGCGCCGGGCATCTTTTTCATCCAACTGCTGTTCCTAAAACAAAAATCAACTGCAAATAACTGTTCCTACACACAGGCCTGGGAAGCCTTTGCAAATCCCAGCACGCTACAGGAACCAAAACCCTGCCGCGGGACGAGTGCCTTTGCCTCCACAAGGCTGCCGCGAAGGTTCGGATCCCCCAGGGGAAAGGCACCCAGCCTAGCACTGTGGTCACTGCAACTGCGTGAGGTGACAGAACCGACGGGCAGAGCAAGAGACCCTGCCTCAAACACAACAACTATTTTAAGATAACATAAAGTAAAATAACGAAAAGGAGCAGACATGTCTACAAGTATGCAGATGGAGAGGGCGGGGACGTGCAAATGCAGAAACCGCGAGTGTAGGTGATGCCAGAAAGACGCCGGCCAGCTCCCAGCCCTCTGCCTGGCCCCTGCTGCTGCCCCTTCAGGAGGGTGTGTCCCCTGCCCGGAGGGGCGGGATTTCTCTGGTACGATGACATGAGCACAGGAAAGACACTTGTTGGAGACTTTCAAAAGAGGTGATCTCCCTCAATGGGACTTCTAAAGGGCCACTTTTGGGACCCCTGGAACTTCACTCAAAAATCGGTGGAAACGTTTGAATCCAGTTTCAAATCTCTCTGGAGTGAATGCCGTAGTCTACCACACACCAGCAGGAGGGGCTGGATCTCATTCAACGAAGCCGTCTGAATGAGATCTTAAAATAATATTTTCTATTCTTGAGATATCGCTGTCCTAGGACCGGCTCAGCTCACACACAGTTTTGTCCTCAAAGCGAACAAGCAGCATCCAGGATGGTCCTGGGCCCGACTCGAGTTCCTCATTCAACAGGTGCAGGAGAGGCTCGGGGTCAAAGACCCAGAAGGACCAGCTGGAGGGTCCCTGGACTTCAGATACCCCAGGGTGTCCCAGAACCACGACAAGGATGTGAGTGCAGAGCAGCAGCGAGGAAGCGGGTGGAGCTCAGCTGGGGGTGGTCGGCAGACCCCACACGGCAGAGCGGCCCAGGGAGGAGCAGAGAGTGGCATGATCACATGAGAAGCGGGTGGGAGGGTGACTGGTGATGCGAGTGCCAGAAATCACCCTCGAGGGGCCAGCTGGGCACACGGTGGGCAGGGAGCCGGTGCGCCAGCCTTCCCGGGCCAGAGGCAGAGGCCGTGTGCTTGGAGATGGCGGCAGCGCATACCCAGCACAGCCTCCTCCCACCAACCCAGGGCCAGACCCTGGGCCAGCAAGTGCCATGGACTGCAGCAGAAGCCTGAGGCCGGGGCCCACGGGAGGGTGACAGGGCTGGGGCCGATGCTATGCTGACAGGAAGGAAGGAGATGAATTCACCAGCCCTCTGGGCCAGAGCCAGAGGAGCTGAGCACCTAGGGCCAGGCTGGGTGGAGAGGTGCCCAGGCAGGAGGGTGCTGGCTCGACTCGGGCTCTGGTCTCCTGGGGGAGTGGCCCATGCAGGGCCATGCAGCCACGTGGCCGGGTCTGTGACACGGGGTGGGCCAGCGGGCCTGGGAGGTGCTTACAGGGCTTCCCGAGTGGTCTGAAGCGTCTCCTGCACCGGCTGCATGAGGAAGTTCCCGTCTGGGGCTGCCCGGGTGCCGGTCGGCCTCTCGGACCTGGGACAGCTGCTCATCTAGAGCCTCTTTTTGGAGCTGCAGTCTCTGAGCATGCCCGGCTTGAACCCCTAACTCTCTCTCCAGCACGAAGACTGCTCTGTCTTTAAATTTTATCTCCTCCATCTACAAGGAGAACAGAACACAATCACACAGGCGGCAGGACATGGATCTGCAGTTACCATAGAAACCAGCGCAGCCCTGCCAGGCTGGGCTCTGAGACCGGAAGCAAGAGCGGAGCGTCCTGGACGGAGAGCAGGAGCCCCGGCCCTGGGCTAAGGCACGACGGAGAGCAGGAGCCCCGGCCCTGGGCTAAGGCACGATGGAGAGCAGGAGCCCCAGCCCCGGACGGAGAGCAGGAGCCCCGGCCCTGGGCTGAGGCGTGACACCTCGGCTCCCATCAGGCCCTGGCTCAGCCGGCTACACAGAGTTGCTGCCAGCAGGGGACTCCTTCCTGACGGTCCCCAGACTCTGTGTGCTCTGGCACCCCATTCGGTGCTGTCCTGCTGGGGCCCTGGGTGCACATGGGGGTGGTGTTGTCTAGCAGAGTCGGCGGAAGCCACTTCCAGCTCCTGCCTGTGCCGTAGGTTGGACAGAGGAGGACACCCAAGTTACCCACACTCTGCCAACAGGAAGGTGCCATGGGCAAGATTCTTCTCTAAACAGGCAGGGGAAACCCCGGGGAACAGAAACCCTGGCCTGAAAGCCAGCGCTGCTCCTTCCCCAGCCCGGGCCCACCCCCAGGGGAAGGTTGTGCAATGTGGGGGCATCACTGTGGTCTTTGGACACCGCCCCTCCATGCTTCTGGGCATGACTAAAAGGCTGGGACCCCACACAGCTGTCTTCAGGCGGCACCACATTGCTCATTAATCTGGCTGCGAGCCGGGGCTTTCGGGTTGAGACGGCAGCCCAGGGGTGCGCAGGACGTCTGCCCGCCAGTGGCTGTGAGGGGTCGGCAGCCCTCCCCACCCTCCCTACAACGCGACGCTTTGTGCTCAACCCACAAAGGGAAGAAGCCATTCCTTCCGGGGATACAGCAGCCGCAGCCTGCAAGCCCCCGCCTGCTTCCGGGCAGGGATGCGCCAGCCAGAACGCAGCACAGCCGACGCGACGGCCCCCACTCTTCGGACAGACGCGCTCGGCACTTCGGACGCCATTATCCGCGGCACTAGATTTACGAGAAGACAAGGTCTTCGAGGATGAACAGCTCAGTTTGAAATATATTTTCGAACAACAGAGCAGAATGGGGTATCTCGCTGCTTTACTCATTGTTTGAGGTTTAAACAAGCTAATAAATCTGCTATTGCTGAAGTTAGCTTGGAAACAAAGAAAGGAGACGTCTAATTAGCCCAGATGGAGCAAGTGATGAGCTGAACAGAAGAAAAGAAATCCTTAATTGCTAAATCCCCATCTTCTCTGCACACAGCAACACTGAAAGAGGCAACACAGTCAGTCAGTGGGAAGGCGGCTGGTGAAATAAGAGCATGTCCATCAGCAGCTGTGCCTGCGGCCTGGCGCTCACACTCTCAGACTCAAACAAGATTTTCTTTTACCAGGACCCCCTCACTCCCAGCTGCAGAGGATGCCTGGAAACTGGAGAGAAGCCCTTGGGATAGTGGTCTCCAGGGCAGGGGGTGTGCAGGCCGATGCTGGGGCTGGAGGAGAGACGATACCCCTCCACTCTGCCCGCCCCTGACCCGCCTGCCCCCAGGTATGCCCCGCAGTGTGTCTCAGCACGGGGCCCCGACACGCAGCATCACAGCCACCTGTGACAGCTGTCCATGGCCAGGTCCCTGAGCCCCCCAGATGCGCAGTTAGAACCTCTAGGGTGGAGCCTGGGAAGCTGCATTTTACAAGCCTCCCTGCTGACTGTGAAGCCCACAGACATGATCTCACCACTGCCCCACAGTGCTGAGGCCCCTGCATGCGTGTGTCCCGCCACGCCCATGAAGCACGCTCACTACACAGGGCACGTCGTCATCCCCAGCATAGTCACTGGCAGCTGTGGCTGCTCCCAACTGGGCTGACCATGCCTCAGTGCTGCAGACAGGTGACTGCCTAAGGTGTTGGCAGAGTACCTGCGACCCCCCAGCAGGTCTCCTGACCCCGGGCCCATGGAGCCAGGACTCCTTCCAAAGACTGGGCCTGTGCAGGGAGCCCTCATGTCTGGCGGGTGCCACTCATATCACCTCTTTCTCCAGAGGGGTCTGCGCCTCAGGGGAGCCCTCCCTCCTCATCGACTCTTGGTTCCATGGGTGGTGACTTGAGCATACGAATGCGCCTTGTGAGACAGAAAAGGCTGCTGCTCCCAGTGGATGTGCTAGAGATAAGGAAGAAGATGTGCCTTGTCCTAGCTGGGGCTTGTTTTCCTAGCACAGAGGGTGTTGATGAGAGAAGGAAGGACCTCCATCACCCAGCTCCCAAGAGCTTAGAATGGGTGGGGGAGATGGGAAAAAATACACAGATGAGATACAGAGCCTGGTCCTGTGATTCCCTGTGAGAAAGCAGAGACCTGGATGGTGGGGGGAGGCAGGGGGGCGGTTGGAGGTGCTAGAAGAGGCAGCCAAGCCTCCCTCAGCCTCTGGTGGGGTAGGAGAGCTTGTAAGATGAGGGAAATGTGACATTTTAGGAGCCCAAGCCCCTTGGTGTCCCAGAGACACCAGAACTTACTGCATGTCTGGGAATTAACCCTTGGGAATTTTTCTCTAGACAGAATGTCCAGGTCCCCCTCAATCATGGGATAATCTGCCAGCACCATGAGAAGGTGGTTCCCAAGCCTGGTGGTCTCGTGCTGGAATCACCTAAGAAGCTTTCTCTTAAAAAAAAAAAAAAAAAAGACTGATGCCCAGAAACTTCTGGTTCCAGACATGATGGGGTAGTTGGCATTAGACTTACCCTTCTGCGGTGAACAACTCTAGAAGCTGAACAGGATACACAACACAGGGGCAGGAGAAGGAGACAAGGAAATCAGTGCTTGTCAGCACAGGGCCCCGGACACACAGCGTCACAGCCCCTGTGGCCGCTGTTCACAGGCAGATCCCTGAGCCTGTAGATCAGTGCCTCTCATCACAGGACCCCACCTCCCCTAACGTTTTCCCTGAGGGTGTTCTCGCAACCTCTCTCCTGGGAAACAGAGCCCCAAGCCGCGGAGGCCTCTTTTGTTGCAGGAAACTAAGATTAGAATTTGGTTGGGGCTACTACAGCAGCTGGGATTTGGAGAGTGGAGGAGGGAATGGCAGAAAAGGAATGACAAAGATCTGACTAAGGATTCCCTTAGGTCCTTGGTCCCCTGCTAAGCTGTACATGTGCAAGGCAGGACTCCCAGAAGCCTTGCAGGAAACAGTTCCTGAGAATCTGAACGGTTAGTAGAAATGTAAGTGGTTGCACATGGCTGTGGAGACATTGCAATTCAAGCTCAGACAGAATAGAAGATCATAGTGATTTCTCTAGACCCTGCAAAGGTTACACTCCCAGGGGCAGGACAATGTCCTAGGAGTAAAAACTTCATATTAAGAGAAAACTAAACAGACCTTACCTAACAAAGCCTGAAACCACACCTCAAAAGGATCCAGGTAATCTGCTGGTCAGTACCTGTCTGCTTGAACAAAACTCAACATTCTTAAGACAACAATAACAATGCTCAGCCTCACAACACATCACCCACAGTGCCAAGAATATAACGAGCATCATTAGACATGTGCACCCACAGTGCCAAAAATTTAATGAAAATCATTAGACACGTGAAGAAGCAGGGAAAAATAACCAATAATGAAGCTAACTCTATGGCAACAAATGAAAAGATGACTAGTCAATAAGAACTTAAAAAATAATTATGATTGATAGAAACAGACCCAGAGATGGTGAGGGTATTGAAGTAAGCAGATAAGAACTTTTTAAATCATTGTAATTAACTCACTAAAACTAATGTAATTAACACATTATATTTTTCTAACAGAGATAATAAAATGACGAAAATACAGTAATTCAAATGAGAATCAGGATCTATTCTTAAAAAGAATTAAGTAGGCACTCAAATCCTACATACAAGGTCTAAAATTAGAAATTCATTACAAAGGTTTCAAAGCAGACTGGACACAGTAAAATCACAAACCCAAGATAAAATGATAGAAAATATCCAACCAAGGCACAAAAGGAAAAACAGAAAAATAAAACAGAATAGAGCTCAAGAAAACTGTAAGCTATAGTCAAAGTGTCTAATATACACGTGATTGGAATCCCAGAAAGAGAAAGGAGGAGAAGTAATGTTTGACTAAATAATGGTCAAGAATGTTCTGTATCTGGGGAAAGACATCACTTCAGATTCAAGAAGCTCAGCTGTCCCCAAGCAGTATTTTTTTTTTTTAATTACAAAAACACACCTAGACACATCATAGGGAAATTGATGAAAACCAGAGTTAAAGAGAATATCTTAAAAGTAGACAGGAAAAAAGACACATTGCCTGAAGCAACACCTCTAAGAGCGACGGCTGGCTTTTCAAAGGAAACTAACAAAATCAGAGGACACTGGCAGGACATCTTTTGAGTGCTAAGAAAAATGCCTGACAATGTGAGAGTTCCAGGCTCAATGAATACATCCTTGGAAAATGAAGGCAAGTCAAGATGCCCTTAGACAAAAGTGGAGAGCATCCTTTGTTAATACACCCACAATGCAAATAATTCTAAAGGGAATCTTTCAGGCTGAAGGGAAAAGACTGCAGATGAGAACTTGTGAAGATATAAATATAAAAGACCATTGGCTGCTTATGGCAACAGTAAAAGCCATTTCTTTGGGGGCTTATGACATGTGTCAAAGTAAAATATAGGACAATAATAGGAGAAGTGGGTAAATGGGGTTGACCTATTGCCTTATAAGGTACTTGTATTTTGGGTATATGGCAAAATTACTAATTTATGATAGAATGTAGTTAAGGATACATATTAATATTTCTCTGTAACTACTAATGGAATAACACTAAATGTTGACCAAAAGGAGATAATCCCATACAATGGTTGGATAACCCCATGGGATAACCTCATCCAAGGCAAGGAGTAGAGAGAGGGAGGAGGAGGGAGGGAGGGAGGAAAAAAAAAAGGAACAGGGGGACGAGAGTAAAAAACAGAGAGAA